CCGCATAGTAGGTACATTAATAACCAACATATCATATACTAAAACCTTCTCCGAAACACGCTGCATCATATGGTATGAGTGTTATTCCGATCGGTTCTGTAGTTATCGCAGTATAACTAAACAAAAAAATCGGCTATCCAATCATTAGTATAGATGTGTCTTACATGGAGTAGGTACCTAAATGAAAGAAAACTAGTCATTCCTAAATTAAAATGATTTTTTGTTATTCTCACAAGTCTTGGTGCAAATAGTCGTATGTTGTATAGATACATATATGTATATATATTATTCAGCCTTTTTTAACGTCCCACTGCTGGGCACGGGCCTCCCTTCAATACGAGGGGGATCAGGCCATAGTCCACCACGCTGGCCTGGTGCGAGGCGTACTTCACACATCTTTCGTTTTTTTTGGGTTCTTTTAGACGTGTAGGTTTCCTTAGGATGTTTTTCTTCATCTTAAGACATGTAATGATGTTACATGAACGAATTTGTGATGTTAGAAATGATACGTACATGGAAATATCAGACGTGCAAGATCCGGGATTTGAACCCGCTTCACTCGGTTACACAATAAAGCGTGTTACCACTGGACTACCACTGTTTGTGTATATGTAGAGTATACTATTGTATTTAGTTAGTTTTGTAATAGGATATTTCATAAATTAATATTAAAAATCCTTCTCTTCATTTCCTTATTTCTGATAACTTTTAAAGGCTTTCATGAAAATATTACAAAGTTAGATTTATATCAAACTGTAGATATAGAAAAGCCTCTTTAAATTCAAATAACAAAGGTACCTACCGCCATATTACTAAGTTTATATAAAATTGCCATTGTTTAAATTCCCCGCTATCGCAGGGGACTAACTGAAAGAAATTTAAGATGTCGTTATTTCGAAACAGTAAGGCTCTTAGAGAGATACAAGATTCTTACTAATTTTATTTGCTGTACTTATTTACTTTATTATGATTTTTCTCAGATTCTGGTACATTCAAAGTTAATAATTTCATTGGATGTTGAATCAGTTTTGAACAAGCAATAATAAATGGTGAAACGTTGCGTAAAATAATAGTAGTTATTAATTATCCAAAACTGGTCCTAATATCCCCTGAAATATTAACTTTTATTTACTTTACTTAGTTTATTACTTATTGCGGTGTAAAGGCAGAGCGATTTGATAAATTGTATATAAAATAATATATTGCTGTAATTTTTTCTGGCATAACCATTTATTTGGGCTCGATGAAGCAGACCGCAATGCTTTGACTTTAAAATAAAACGTAATAATATCTAAATGGTACAGTAACTACTTATTATGCCGGAACAAACCAGAAAATTTTAGTATTGACTAGCAACTCAACCTCGCTTCGCTCGGGCTCGTCCCTAGTTACGTTTTAACGTTTAGTATAGATTTCTCAGGGATGAGATATTTTCCCGCAGTAAAAAGTAAACTATATGTTGCTCCGGATAACCAGCGTTATCATACCAAATATCATCAAAATCTGTCCAGTGGTTTTCTAGTCATGCGTCAGACAGACAGACAGACAGACAGACAAAAATTCTAAAAATTATAGATTCATCCTAGATTCAGCGATAATAATGACTATTTCAATGAGATTTTCCAAAAAATATTTAGTGTAATTAGATTCGACTCAGTTAAAATTTGATTATATGTACCTATAGATTATACTAAAATTCACGTGAATCCATTTCGTTTCTTGCATAAAAGAGAAGCGAACTACCAAACGTGTTAAGAATTTTGGTATATTATAAAAAATATAATAAAGTCAATTGAAAAATATTTTCGAGATTAGTAATAAAAACGGGTTTACAGTTATTTTTTACGGTTTTCGCTTTGTCTTATGACGTGGGCCTATTATATGGTAATGGGATCAAGCATTCAGAATAATTCTCGAGTTGGGATGGCTCACTTTTACGACTTCAAGGACACGAATTATAAGATCGTTAACGTTGCCCCGACACTATTCGTATCCTCCAGGCCTCGTTAAAGGCAAGAATAGTGGAGTGAAATTATTAAATAATAGAAACGCTTTGTTTGTATCTGTGAAAATATTTTGTAAAATATTACATTTAGGAAAAAAATCACTTGTGGAAAGATAGACGAAACGTTAAGCACCTCCAAGTCAAGTGTAAATTATCATGGTATTTTAAAACTTTTACTCTATACAGGATGACTACGATGCGACGTCTGTCTAATGTCTATGACAGACACTGTCCGTGATATTCGAACCACAGTACCTACCTATATTGTTATAATAAAAAAAAACAAATGCACAATTATTTATTGTACCTATTCTTTATTCCATACTACAATCTATAACTTATATATATACTATAATCTATATATTATAATAAAATTCTGAGTCGAATCTGTACATGATTTTTTTTTAGATCTTATTGAAATAGTCTATCGATACAGAGGCCGAATCTATAGTTTTTAGAATTTTTGTCTGTCTGTCTGGGAACGCATCACGTGAAAACCACTGGACAGATTTTGATGAAGTTTAGTATGATGATAGCTGGTTATCCAGATCAACATATAGGATACTTTTTAATGCGAAAAAATATTTCATCTCTAAGAAATCTATACTAAACGTTGAAACGTAAGTAGGGACGAACACGAGTGGGGTTATCGTCTTTATACTAACAGTAAAATTACTATATTTTTTTAATTATTATAACGGCAAGTTTAAATGAATTGCAAAAGCTATGCAGTAATTAAGCCGATCCCCGAGCAATTGCTGTTAATTAGAAACTAATTACATCAACTTTCCATCGTACGTAGAGTAACGAAGTGCGAATGTATCGCTAGTATCGTACAGTGCAAAAATACAATTTACTGATTTTCAAGCAAGATATTTTTTCGCTTTTTTTACATTTTCTGTTTGATAATAATTAAATGGCATTAAAATACTGTTGTTCTTCACTTTTAGATTGGCTCTACTTTAATTTTTTTGATGTATCATATTATAGAGATGTGGTTGAACATATTATACGGATGTGCAAACATTTTAATATACATACATATAATATATACATATAATATTAAAAGGAGGCAGAGTTTGTTTGTTTGTTTGTTTGTTTGTTTGTTTGTTTGAACGCGCTAATCTCAGAAACTTCTAATCCGATTTGAAAAATTCTGTTTTTAATTAGATAGCTCGCTTATTGAGGAAGGCACGGAGCGGAGCAGTAATCATAAATGTCAACAAATATTATTGTAAAAGTGGTGTTTATAATCAAACAAAAACCACAAACCGCGAGGCACAGCTAGTCAGTTTATAATGCGTTTTTTGTATTATAGTTTTCTGATTTTCTTTAGTGTGAAACAAACTTTAATCCCACAAATATTGCTTAATAGGTTACGCTGCTATTTTTTAATACATTTTTTTTCAACATTTTAAGATTTTAAAATATTATTATGCAAAAAGTGTTTCATGTATTACGACATGACATGAAAAAAAATAAGTAACGCAAATTGTTTATATAACAAGCTCTCGATGTGTGCCAAAGTGTCGATTGACTCTAACAATTACCAAATGATTATGACCTAAAAAATATTTCGTTGACAGCTTCCTTCGATCACTGTCCACTTATAAATATGTATGGTACGTATTGCTGCTGACACATTTGACTTGAGTTATCAGGTTAAGTGGAGTAGGATGAGTAAGACCATACACTCAAATGCTCTACTAAAGATCGGCATTCTGATGTTAGACCAGTAATTAAATCTTTATGTTTGTTTATAATAGATATGTATGTATTTATTTTTTATCCCGTGTCACTAATGACATACATATATGGAAGTCTAGCTTTCTTTTAAGATAACACGTTTTAATAAATATATACTACTCGTACTATTTTTCAATAGATAACTATTATAAATTATAAATTGAAAAACTTAAAAAAACCGGCTTTCAGGCACTAAAATGTAAAAAAATAACTAAACGGAGGTTTTCATTTAGAATAGATACCTAATCAGATATTTTCGAAGTCGGTGCCAGCCGATGCAAAGCAAATCTTATATATTTCGATACGTAAAATACATATTTACCTATTAGATACTCATATCTTAAAATATTGTCGACTTTCTAATCAAAAAATATTTCCAAACAGGTTCAGGCGTCTTCGAGTAATTGGTGAACATACATAAAAAAAAGATTCCGGCGAATTGAGAACCTCCTCCTTATTGGAAGTCGGTTAATTATTATTAGAATATAAAAAAGAACATAAAAAGATTATAAGATATCAAAAAGAAGATAAAAAAGAGAAAAAAGAAAAGATAAAATTTTATTATATTATTTTCGCTAAATTGATTGGTGAAAAGTACTAAGTAGGTACATGAGGATATGTTGAGCAGCTCTAGAAATCATCTTTTTGGAACTGTCGGTTTTTTTATTATAATATTGGTGCAAATGATGCTCGAAGAGCTTGAATTGAAATAGTTGATTAGTAGATGTACCTATACATACGTATATCAGTCGTTCATTTATATATATTATACACACTAGCTACTCTCTCCCCCTGGCTTCGCTCAAGTTCGTCCCTAGGTACGTTTTGACGCTTGAGTATGGAATAGATTTTTTTATCAATTTTTTTTCGTGAATTCGGTGTGAACGAAAAACCAACAAAACAAAGATCATAAAAATCGGTCCAGCAGTTCTCGAGCTATAAGTGTTGTAGCAAACACGACTTTGTTTTATATATACAGATAACCTTATGCTATTTTAATTTTATGTTTGCTTGTAGCTAATCAATAAGTACAGTAAAATATTAATTGGCTTTATATTATTTGTTCATATAGGATACCTACTTAAAAAATATTGAAGTACAACACTAAATTACATAGTAACTTTTTATATATTTATATAAAAATATATTATACATTTTTAATAATTTACACTTAAGATTATATACGAGTTTTGGCTGTAATATTTCTAAAATCGGAAAGTTTTATTAAAAGATTTTTTCTTGATTTCAGATGTAGACTACGACTACGTGGTGGATCAGCAGCCAATCGGCAAGCTCCTTTTCAGACAGTTCTGCGAGCGGAATCGACCGCACTATCACAAATACAACAGCTTCTTAGATGCGGTTAGTATTTACTCTAAGTGACAATTTATCGTATAATGAATAGTTTCTTAGATACTACATTTGCTAGCAGATTCCAATGAGACCTAAAATCTAGAATTATGAGAAAATGAAGGAGAAAATACGTATTTTAAGTTTTTTGTTTATATTATACATATGTACCTACTTAAAAATAAAAAAATACTTAAAAATTTGGGTATTATATATTTTTCTAATTATTCTGAAGCAAGATTCGATGCTAATTTGTTTTAACAACTTGATCAGGCAAAAATAAATGCAATGAAAAAAACTTGCAGACATCAAACTACGAGTATATTTAAATGGTTCCTAGTATTCACAACTAAGTTACTTAATAATACATGTTTTTACTTTAGTTTCTTCAAATAATCTCATTCATAATTTTTGTTAGATTAATAATAATAATAAATAAATAATAAATATGTTGGGACATTCATACACAGCACCATCTAGTTCCATGGTAAGCTACGAGGCTTGTGTTATGAATACCAGATAGTTGATACACTACACATATGTATATAACTTTAAATACATACATATTATAAATATAAACACCCATGACTGGAGTACAAACATTCGTGTTCATCACACAAATGAATGCCCCCAGCGGGACTCGAACCCGCGACCGCTGGTACAATAAGTAGGGTCACTACAAACTGAGCCAAACGTGTCGTTGATTGATTGATGAAGTTATGTTTCAATGGCATTCGCGCGTTAATATGATTAATTTTCGGTGTCGGGCAAGAATGTTTGATGTATGATTTGATGCACACCGGCCAATTTGCTACTTCAGGCCAGCCGTGGCGGTGGTCTTATCTTATAATATTAAATGAGTAACTCTTGTGTACCTACTGTATATAAATTTATTACGTATATCTCGGAAACGTCTCTAACGATTTGGATTAAATTTTGTATGTAGATTTAGTTTTGCTTTTAAGTTTTTCTATATAAATACTGAGAGAAGCTCCGTAGCCCAGGTACTAAAATTAAATGACGCTAGTCATATTTTATGGTAATAACTGCAAATAGAACTCTTGAAAGCCGTCAATTAATATATCCTTTGGAATACATCTTGCTGTAGTGGTTTCTACCTCGTATTGGAATTTTAATAATAGGTAATTCACAAATTTCAAGTAATTATTATTAATTAGCATAAGAAATATATTATTTATATTCTGTAAGTAAAAAAGTCTACGACCACTTTGGATAGAGAACGCCTTTTTTTTTTTTTTTAACGTTGGGAAATGCATTTACGCACGAGGTGTGGGACTCACCGGCAAAGCCAGTACTACCCACTAAAACCCAACAAAGCCTTCCCCCGTCTTAATGGGGCGTCGCAGGATCGCTTACGCATTCAACTACGACGCCCCGACGGCAGGTCTGCTGAGGCAGACCACAACGACCATGGGGTTGCTCCAAAGTCCACTCTGCTATCAGAGAAGTACCAGGAGCAACCCGCATGGTACACCGCCCTCCGAAGAGGGCCACCTCCCACCGCCCACCGAAGCGGGCCACCTCCCTGTGCGTTGGATAGAGAACGCCTAAGTTATGAAAACATTGGGCGAAAGAAACTCAGACTAGGGGAGCGGGGGGCACGTTGTTACAATTTTCAGATAAATGTCAATATGACATAAGCTATCAAATAATTTATACATTTGATTGCTTTTATCGTTAGTATGTCTATTCAGCTATTAAAATATGATTGAAAAGTTATTAAAATTCATGTATTTTTTTCACAATCGACAATTTAACCAAAAAAGTCGATTGTAACAACTTACCCCACATTTGGGGTTAGTTGTTACATCTTCGGGGCACGATGCTACGATAGATAAATAAACAAAATCATCAATTATAAATCATTTTTATTAATATTTGATAACCTTATAAACAAAAGAGATCACTTTAAACAGTTTTCTAACATTTATGAGTAATTATAATATCTATATCGTATTGAAGATTTTTTTTGTAGAAAAATAACATAACTTTGGCAGGAACTTTTTTAAATCTTATATAAAAACACAGAAACTTCGTCTGCAAATAACAACTTGTAGTAAATTATTTATACTTATTAGTTATTTTAATAAACTTTTAATAAACTAAAATACTTTGGATTCTAACATTTTTTAGGGTAGGTACTTATATTATAGAAAAATATATAGTTATTTATATAGAGGTAGGTAACAATATCACATACTAATATTAAATTAGCCTTCATCAGAATTGCAATTAATGCAAATGAATGAGTGAACGTTTCCCGTTACATATTTGACATGGGCCCACATTTTGCATTCTAAGCATTCTACCGAATCTTCTTTTTTCGAGGTGCTGTAACTTTCGCTAAACACTAAACAAAATCATCAGTATCGGAATCCGAGTCGGAAACCAATATTTTTTTTCTTCACCTTACCATCTTCGCTCATTTTCGAGGACTTTCCTTTACCTTTGCCTTTTCCTTTATTTTTGTCACACGTTTTTTTGGTCTTGGCCAGTTTTTCTTCATACTCTTTTTTTAATGAGTCTTTTTCAGGCGTGTCGGTTAACACAGCGGATTTGCGTTTACGACGAGTATGGATGGATTGTTTTCGAGTTTCTTGCTTTTCCTGGATGATTATACATCCAGGCTGTCTGTGCTCGATTAAGGTGGTTTTTAAAAGGACGATAAACTCCCACATCTAATGATTGTAAATTGTGAGAGCAGAGCGCGTATTATTTTTAAGCCAGCTGGGGGGAATATTTTTTAAATTGAGTTTTACAGCACATTGGTAAGCTAATTTTCGAACTTCTATTGGTAGTAAACCAAAATATATTTCTGAACGTTTGAGTAGATAGGAAGCTAATTTATGTTCTGTTTCTTGTGAGAGTATCAATCTAGGTTTAACGTAACCCAATAAACAACTTTCGTTGTTTATGTTTTTTCTGACATATCTGGATAAGGACATAGGACACAAATTAAACATTTCGCTTGCCCTACAAATGCTCATTTTATTCTGCAGTACTTCTGCTCCAGCAGATTCATAAACTTCTTGACTAGTTGTACCTCTTTCTGTTTTTCTTTTATAGTTTCTCATTCTAAAAAAAACAGAATAATTAAAATTTTTAAAATTAGGTATGGTAATTTTTTTTGTTGTTACATGTAACAACTTACCCCAAAAAATTGTAACTACCTGCCCCATGGGACGTTTTTTAATATAAATTGAAGTCACCATTAATGGGTATCGATAGTAGAAAAAAACAATATTGCAAATTAAAGGTAGATATATTATGAACGTTCAAGGTTAAAAATTTTGAGAAAATAAAAAATATAGACATCAGGAATCAAAAATTTCGGAAAGGATTTTTTACTTACTTGGTTGAAATCGAGACACATGCACACAACCTAGCAGCTTGGCGCTTGGCGGGTCACTGGTCGTTTTTATGTAATGCACGATGTTATAAGAAAACAAATGAGACCAATTATGTCCACCAAAGAGTTTAAAATCCCGGTAAAAAAGGCGTGTAACTACTTACCCCTGCAACAACTAGCCCCCCGCTCCCCTATAACGTTCGCTCTTTATTCAGGATCTTTTTTTGTTAGACATGTATCTGTAATATTATTTTTTTATTGAATATTGATATAGATTGGTCAAAGGGTTCAACTTTTCACACTGATGTGTATAAATCATACAAATGCCTGACATACCAGTCCCGTTAAGTTTAAGCACGATATCCGAAAACACTACACAGCGCGTATTATGAGAGCCAAAGTTAGAAGGAATTTTTATAGTTCGACTGTATTAATATTAATTAATAAAAAATCAGAGCAGGCTATTTATATATAGTTTAATGTTTTTGTTCATAAAATTTTAATTATATTCCGTATTTAAATTAGTCTTTATGACTAAGAACTAATAATATCTTGTAATGAAAGTTTTTGTTTTTAAAAGTTATCAGCTTTTCGTTAATCAAGTTTTTTAAGTTGTAAAATGCATTTACCACATGTTTATACACTTTCTTAACATAAGTGGATATTTGATGACTTAGTGACAAGAAACCTTTAACTAAAACCCATCAAAACTTTCCTCATCTTAATGGGCAATTGCCAACGCATTCAACCACTATACCCTGGCGGTAGCCCTGCTGCGCTGGGCTCCCTCCAGAGCGATAATTGCTATAAAATATAGTTACGCAAAAGAGTATACATACATACCTATATGTAACGGAGTTAGAAGAACTACCTTGTTAAAACACAGCTGTCATTCATATATTGAAATCAATCTCAAGTTTTGTACAATTGTATTTTTTAGTTCGTCGGTCAGATGAAAATTAGCTGTTTTATTTATAGATAGTAAGTGGTATCTAGAGAAAAAATATACCTACCTATTAAAATTAGTTTAACCTGGAGGTGGGTTAAATGTGAAAATATATCAAAATAAAAAAAAAAAACCGACTGCATAAAAGCTAACTAAAAAGATGAAAAGAAGTTGACAAAGAAATATAGCATTATGCAATCGGAGACATACATATTATATGTACATTAGGGTCAAGGGTGGTTAAGAAAAACAAATATTTTTTATTTTCGAGTCTCTTACGAAAATATGTTAGTTTTTTAGTTTTTGACAATTAGACTTTTTAAGTTATATTTAGCAATTTTTATTCTAAATTACTTTTAAACATGTAAGTGGTGTATATTTTTGTGATCGCCTCTTAAAAACCTTTATTTTGATACTCCACTCAATTAGTTTGGAAGATTTTTTTAAGACATAAATTAGCGCCTGGAATTCGCAATTTAAATTTTTAACTACTTTTATATTATAGCCTATGACACTCGCATTATCAAAATATATATACGAGTATATCAATATATAATATATCAATATATAAATATACGTATCAATCATCAAAATCGGCCCACGCGCTTGGTCTCCAGAATGCCATATAGGCACAAACATACTCATATATAGACTGATAAACACATTACTATCCTTTGCGTCGCGCAGTCCGGTAAAAAGGTAGATTTATTTATAATGAATTGTGAGTCTTTTAATAAGCGTTCCAATGCCGCTGATGCGAGTGGGTAGTTCGTTAAATGGATGCGCCATTGTAGGCCACGTCAGTTGATAGGAAATCTACTTTGAATTAATGAGCAGTGGAGACAGTTAACTCCCTATTCAGGCCATCGCTAAATGACTCGACTGACACTTCTAAGCTGAAAACAAAAGTGCTAAAAAATATGAAATTCCCTTATTTGAATGTTTTAGCGATTTAAGGCCTCCTCTTGTACATAGCTCTTTTTATATTTTTCCTGCACATTTTTTTCTTTTTTTTTGTCTTGTGGGCGTACAATAAAGAGTATTTATTATTATTGTTACCATGAAGGTTCTATGTCAATTCGAAGTACCTATTACAATAAAACGACAATTTCATACTTTAACCCCTATTATTTTTTAATAAAAAGTAGACGATTTCACTACTGCCCGCCCTATTTATTAAGTAATTGCTGCTAAAAATCTTGTTAAAGTCGATCGATTTTAAATACATATGTTCGGAAGAACAATTAGAAATAATGACAAAGATAAAGCAATATGATAAAAAGCATAATATTTTTACGATTGTTTGGACTTTTGCGATTAAATATTATTTGGTTATTTATTTTTAAATCAGATATGGTCATATCGATTTTATTTATAAGTATAGATTAATATTTGTATGTATAAATATGACACATGTTCTAAACATTTTTTAATATTAACTTCTATAGATTTTGATAATTATAATTAATAATTATGATAAAGCGTGAGTCATTCTTATTATACAAGTCATCAAATAACTCAGTTTGGCCAGTAAAAATTGAATTTAACTATGCACTAAATTTCCGATCCAATTTTTCTATAAGGTTTATAATCACTTCCGGAGTATAAAATCACAAAATGCTATGCTATGGTAAGTTTTACAAAAAAAAAATTACACTAAACAAAAAAATGCGAAATTTTATTGTCCACAAAAATGATTTCAATGACTTTTGCCCTAAAGTGCATAGTTTCCGAGATATCGGCCAAAAAAGTTTTTCCAAGATGGCGCCTGAAGCTCCACCGGAATCTATCAGCATTTTGTGATTTTATACTCAGTGACCTTATAAACAAAAATTGAATCGGAAATTTAGTGTAAAGTTGACCAAAAAAACGTCTTATTTTTACTGGACTAAGTTTATTAAGGATATTTCAACTCATTGATATATAATTCAAACTCAATAGCTGACTGCTTTGTTGAACATTCTTTAATGATTAACCTTAATCCGTAGGTAATATGCGAAAATGTGTTCGTAACTTATTTAAGCCATGACGTGACGGCTTAACGAGTTTCACTGAAATTCAAAATGGATACTATATATTATCCTGTATAGACAAAAAAATCGATAATTATAAAAGAAATGAAGTGAATGCCTTATTTTTCAAACAGCAATAATGCAACGTATGAACGTATTATTTTTCATAGAAATAGTTTTGTAAAAATCTACTAGTTTGCCTGTACAGTACAGTCATATATGAATATTTCGATTGTTTAACTATTGTGTCTATTTTGCGGACAGTTAATCTCTTAATATACTAGCAGAAACCGCGGCTACGCACTCGCGTTCAATATACAAAAAACAAATTCTTTGGCTTTATGTTATATAGTGTGTATTTATATACTGTGTATTTGTATAATATTGTTCATACAAAAATACTTAAATCGCGATTAAAAAAGGGGGGTGTGGGAGTGGGTGGGTGAAAAATACTTTACGACCTATTCTCATACCTATCAAATATACAAAAAAATATCATTAAAATCGGTCGAGCCGTTTCGGAGGAGTGCGACCACAAACGCCGTGACACGAAGTTTTTATATATTAGATTAAATATAATAATATTAAATAAAAAATAAACATCTATAAGATTCTATAAAACCTTTGTAATCTAAGATAAAGTTACAATTTTATTATATCTTTATATAACGAGTCGTGTCAGTCGTCGGATAGACGACCGAATGATTGAACTAATGACTCGTGAAGTCGTTAATCAATATAACGATATTTTAAACGAACCCTTATACGAATTCTATTGTCATTGCCATCTTATGTTCTGTCTGTCTGAATTGTAGGAAAATGCAAATTATTTTTATATTAACACGGTCATGTACATATGTATGTACAATGTACATAATATATAATATTTTATGTTTCATTGAGTTAAAAAATATTTACTAGAGTATTTAATAATATCAATATTCTAAGAATAAAAAATCCTGAATGAACTATCCTCGCTCCGACTAACCGAACTTGCTTCATGACCTGACTGTTAAGAATATTTTAATATGTTATGTTATCGTTAAAGAAGTAATTTTAAAATCTAGGACTTAAAGAGCAGAAAAGGTTACCTCGTATATAATAGGTACAACTCGTAGTATCTACCCGCTACCTTGCCCGCGTTAAAACTTCCGATCGCTGCCAAACTTCAAGGGTTCACTCGCTGGGCCGATATGAAGATTGCTTGAAAATTTCATCAAAATCGCTCCATCCGTTTTGGAGTCCGCTCCAGTCGATTTTTATATGTACACATTTATATGTACAAATACAATTTATCTGTTGTCAAATTGATATAAAACCTACGTAGTGAAGTCAGGGCAAGAAGCGAGGCTTCTTAAATGAGATTATTACAATAGACAATGTAATAATTTATAATATTGAAAATCTCATAAAATACGCGAAATCACTATATAAATATTGTATTATATTGCCTTACGTTACTATTAATATTTAGGTACGTATCATATTGAATATCATGTGAACGCTTGACTTGCTTTTTCGATATTAACGACGAATTTGCGATAAAATATGTATTATTGAATAGGTATTCCCAATAAATAGAATCTCATCGTTTGCCCTTTAATCTTAAATGTCAGGTTTTCAGCCTTTGCCTAACTTTTTATACTAATATTATAAAGAGGCAGAGTTTGTTTGAACGCGCTAATCTCAGGAACTACTAATAAATACCATTTGAAAAATTCTTTTTGCGTTAGATAGACTGTTTATTGTGGAAGGCTATAGGTTATAAATCATCATGCTAGTACCCAAGAGAGCGGAGCAATAATCATAAATGTCAATAAATCAGGCAGAATTTCATACATTATTGTAAAACTATATATATATTATATATAATCTATAATGCAATTGTTTTTTTTTATAAATATTTCAATTTAGTTTCACGGTGAAGGTAAAGTCTCTACATACTTTACATCTTTATTTGAATTTAATTTGTTTTTTTAAAAATAATAAAAATCTATTTAATAAAATTGTAACTAAGCCAAATCTGTACATGAAATATTTTTTGGAAAATCTTATTGAAAGAACATTATTATCGATACAGAGGCCGATTCTATAGTTTTTAGAATTTTTGTTTGTCTGTCTGTCTGTCTGTCTGTCTGTTTGTCTGTCTGTTACCGCATCACGGAAAAAACAACTGGAGGGATTTAGATCAAATTTGGTATGATGATAGCTGGTTATCCGGGTCAACATATAGTATACTTTTTACTGCGGGAAAATATCTCATCTCTGAAAAATCTATACTAAACGTTAAAACGTAAGTAGGGATGAACCCGAGCGGAGCGAGGGTGAGTCGCTAGTATTTTAATATAATTTTCTTGAGTCTTGACTAACCATATTACTAGGTTGTTTTATAAATTCTGTTTTAATTTTGGACAAAGAAAATTTTATTCCAGATACCTAATTAAGTTAATATTCACAAGTGTAGATTGAAAGTGAAATGAAATTTTCGTGATGAATTATAATTACATCATATAAAATTTCTGTTCATATTTAACTTTTTTCCTTGTAAATTATTTGAAAACGTTGGAAAAATAAAGTTATAATTTTTCGGGTCCTTATCAAAGGTTGGCTACAATTTAACTTTCACAAATAGTTTCAAAATGAATCAAATTTACTCTAATAAAGTTGTAGCCTCCTGGCGAATTTTAATTTAAAAACCAATATTATTCGTCTACAAATAAGTTTGTTAAATTCTAGCATAAATAAAAATATTGTACGGTAAATGTAAAAGTCTTTGATCTTAATATTTTTTATTATTCACTAGCGCTTACTTCCTACCTTTGTTGAATCTATTCTATACATATAATAAAATTGTAACTGATCTCTGTCTGTATATGGAAGATATTTGAGTAAAACCACGGTAACGTATATGTAAGATTACCGTGGTAAAACTTTTATTGGGAGTCTTTATTAACGCAACAGAACCCAAAACAATGTTTTTAGAATTTTTGTCTCTTTGTCTGTGCGTTTGTGCTCGCTAATCTCAGAAATGATCAGAATTATATTGAAATATAATATTGCTATCAAATTTGATGTGATCGTGGGTTCGAATCCCGTTACCGCGCAAAGTTAAAATCAATTAACATATAAAAAATATGAATTATATTATATTCTATTTTGTATTAACTGCACTATTTTGGCCCGCTATCATCACTTCTCACTTCCATAGATTGACTGGAAGAAATCTCTTCTAGCACTCTTTGCACACATTGGTCTCCGTATTGTTTATATTACACAAATCAACAAATCTATCCCACGAAAACCATACATTTTTCCTGGAAAAAAATTAGCTTATGTGCTATTCATTACTATAATCTATCTCTGTGCCAAATTTCATTCAGATCCGTTCAGCCGTTCTGACATGATTGAATAACAAACATCCAAACATCTAAACATTCACATAATATTAGTAAGATGTCAATGTGCAAATAAAGAATATAACATAAGATCTTGTTATTATACTAATAATAAAGTAAACAGGGGCGTAATATATTCCAGGCGGAGAGGTACGAGGTGGAGGTCGACGAGACGCGGGTGGCGCTCGCGGCGGACCTGTTCGGTCGGTATCTGAAGACGGAGGACTGCGACGCGGTGACCGACGTCGTGCCGCCGGACGTCATTGATGATGCTAGCAAGCTGCTCGAGGGTGAGTTCTCATTATGATTAGTCATTTATTTATATAAGATCTACAATTTTCTAGTACATTGTGTCTATATATCTAAACTAAGGACGACTCGACAGAACCAATAATTTTGTTGTATTCCCGTGGGAATGAAAGATTTCCTTGTAGTAAAATATACGAGTCGTATCTTAAATGTTGAGCCGAGTAATAAGTTATCACTGTACAAAATTTAGTGAAGGTCGGTTCAGTACTATTTGCGTTAAACGCTCACAGATATACAGACAAACAGACAAAAAATATACAAATTACGACTTATTCTGCCTATGCTTGGGTGCCTAACAGCAGTTTATGTGTAACTTCAGTACATAGTATGTCTGTGTACTAAATTTCATTACCGACATACAAACATGTATGTACACATATATGTACATACTACACATACATACACTCATATACGCGTACATACTGTCACACATATATATTTATATATATAGTTACCCTATTTGCTTAATTTATGTATCTATAATTTCAATCGATACAAAGTATATAGATGATCGCAGAATTCAAACATTATTTCTGTCTGTAGACTGATTATATTGTTATAAGAAAATAACCAAAAAAAAGCTGTCAAATTTTTTCATATAAATGTACTGTGTAACCATAAATGATAAACCACCTAGGTATGAAGATATAAGGTTTTTCTTATATATAAATAAACTAGCGGCTCACCCTCGCTTCGCTCGGGTTCGTCGCTAGGTACGTTTTAAATAGATATAAAAAGAAAAAATCTTTCTTTCTCACATTTTAATTATATGTTTTAATACTTACCTATTCCGGACTAAGATTAAAATATCATAAAAATTGGAACGCGGTCGAACGGGATAAAAAGTATCCTATGTCCTTCTCCTGGCTCTAAACTACCTCCCTGCCAATTTTCAGCTAAATCGGTTCAGCCGTTCTTGAGTTATAAGCGAAGTAACTAACACGACTTTCTTTTATATATATAGATAACGCTGGCGTCAAATATTAATTAGCTTCGTTTTTACCAGTTCTCCGTGCACAAGATACATATATATAGTTACAGATTTGGCTTTTTGGACATTACGTGTCCCTCGATAGCGATATGAATCGATTATAATGTTTGAAACACAATGGGTTACCTTTTATATACGAGTATATTAAAAATCTTCTAAAGAAATTATAAAAAATAATTACAAAGTGTAAAAATATACATACATACATATGTACGTCATTAGTAAGTAAGCTATACATTTTATCACTTAGTAGTGTGGTAGATACCGTGACGTGATAACCCTTTATTTAATGTTAGCGTGCGAAAACGATGTCTAATCCCACGGCTTAGTCGAGCCGTATCTAACACCCCTATTGATAATAGAAAACTGAAATATTAATTATAATAATATATATATTTTATATTACCTACATGTAGGCTATAACATAATATTAGACAGACCAGAACATAACATTCCCGTATTATTTTCTATTGCTTTTATTCTGTTAACAGACAATAGAAAACATTTCTATTATCGATAGCGATTGTAGAAAGCTAACTAGGCTGATGGTCTATATTACCATTGATCTATTTCTATACCTATATAGATTTGCTTCATTTTGCACTACTGCTTGAGTATTATTTACTTGGAAATTGAACCCGCTACCTAGTATGGCGTTTAAAATTAATTATTTATAAAACGTTATTTTCGTATTATTTTGCGGATTTATTATACAATAGTTTTACAACAATCACGGTCACGGGAGAGGCAGTAAAGCTTTCGAAACGTCGTCGGGAACCAAATAACAAAATAAATCCGCGAAATAATCCGAGACAAAAATCGCGTAAATCTAAGAAAGTATTTCTTTTGAACTTGTAAACGTAACATTTTCAGGCGGTGCTAAGGACATATTCAGTGAATGTATTCGATGTGTCAAGAGTTTCCTGGCGGGCAGCCCATTCGCGGAGTTCGAACGGTCCATGTACTTCCATAGGTATTTGCAATGGAAGTGGCTGGAAGCGCAGCCGATCACGCAGAACACGTTCCGGATGTACCGGGTACTCGGGAAGGGGGGTTTTGGGGAAGTATGCGCTTGTCAGGTAAGTTCTTACTTTCATGGGAAGTATGGAAGGGAAAGGCTAAGTTTTTCTCCAAAGTATCTATGTTTTTTATGTTTGTTCACCGATTTCCCGGAGACTGGGAATTTTTCTAGTTTGTTAAGGTGGTCCATATACATAATTACATACGTATATTTCTTGGTCATAGCATATACCATTCTTGAGGAAATCAGAAAAGACCTTATAAGTTCAAGTATGTATCTAAACAAATGTAATAAGTCTTTTTAATTTAAAATTTATTTCTAATAGACATCTGTATTTCCACTGACAGTACAATATTTTGGTATAATCGAACTGAAACTGATGGTGAAACGGCTACTAGTAAATATGTACATTGTGTTTGGACTAATTTGGTTTGTTTACTCTAGTTCAATATGCTAGACTTACATTTGAAAGCCAGATTTTTACAGTTACTTACAAAAGCGTAAAAAAAACTAAGTTTTTTTAGTTTGCTTAATATACTTGTCTTTAGCCATTTTTGAAGTTATACTTCTTTTGGTACGTTTGGAAAAAAATATGACAGTTAAATTTTTATGATGCACGCGCACACCGACAGCCAAATGCGACATCAGCGACATGATGAAGTTAGCTGAAAGCGACATGATGAAGTTAGCTGCATTCCTTTAACAAATAGAGAGTTGTGACATACGGGATGAAATCTTTAGCTATTTCTGTTCTGTTACGCCAAAGAAGTATAACTTCTTATGTGCGTACATATATACACACACATATTTTTTTAAATGTAAATGTGTAACTGTTGTTAGTAAGTAAAGAAGAGTGTATAATTGTTCATCCAGGTTCGAGCAACGGGTAAAATGTACGCTTGCAAAAAATTAGAAAAGAAAAGGATAAAGAAGCGGAAAGGGGAAGCGATGGTGTTGATAGAGAAACAGATATTACAGCGGATCAACTCGAGATTTGTAGTGAATTTGGCTTACGCGTACGAAACTAAGGACGCCTTGTGTCTCGTCCTCACTATAATGAATGGTAAGTAATTCATACTTTTTCTTATGTAAGTTTTTATAGAAAATGATGAAAATTAGCTTATTTATGTATACTTATATTATTTTAAAGTTTAACTGCTGTAGAAATTTGCTGTAGAAGTTTAGTGGACTGTTACATGCACCTATATTAAAAAAATATCTCAGTGAATATTTTATGTACTCGTAGTTTAAATTTACACATCTTTCTGCAAAAAATAGAATAAGATAGTTTTATTTAAAATGTCAAATAATTGCGTATTAATTTTTATTCATTTAGTCGGTTGACTTATATGAATGATTAAGTTTTAAAGTTTAGTATAGATTTCTGATAGATGAGAAATTTTCCCGCATCAAAAAGTATCTTATATGTTGATCCGGGTAAACAACATCAAAATCTGTCTAGTGGTTTTCTCATGATGCGTTCCCAGATAGACAGACGACAGACAAACAAAAATTCTTAAAATTATAGATTCGGCCTCTGAATCGATAATAATGACAATTTCAGTAAGATCTTCCAAAAAATGTTTAATGTACAGATTCGACTAAATTAGAATTTTATTATATATATATATATATATATATATATATATATATATATATATATATATAGATAGATAGATTATAATAAAGCAGTCGTTATCTAGTTCAGAAGTCTTTTTAATCAGACCTCATAAACTATTACAGGTGGTGATCTAAAGTTCCATATATACAACATGTGCGGCGCAGACACGGGGCTCGGGCTCGAGCGGGCCCGCTTCTACGCCGCGCAGGTCGCCTGCGGGCTGGAGCACTTGCACAAGATGGGAATTGTTTATAGGTGGGTCGTAGAATTCTAGGGTATTTATAATTATGTTCTCTGAGACTAACCATCTGTGCAGGAGATTTTACAGTGCAGCGCGTGTACAAGTGCACTCTCTACTCCCGCCACTCTTGTACGTTTGTTGGGACGGTACTTCGACACTCGTGGTGAGAGGTATGGAATAGGAACGAGGCGACACGTGAGAGCCGACTTTCCAAATCCGGGCTATTACTGGGAATTTTCTTGACAGGAAAACTCAATGACTAAACTTGGCCCGATCCGGGACTCGAATCCAGGACCTACATATAATATGGTATACATAAATATGCCGCATAAAAAATATATAATAATACAAAGTCTTTATTATACATACAAAAAGAAGAGGTTACGGTTTCGCAAACTCCATTACACGCACTGGTGCACATTAAAATAATTTTGGCTAGACTTGATGAGATTTGGCCCTTTGGTCAAAATCGGTCAGCGGGTTAATAAGTTGCTAAAAAACTTAATGTTTAATGAACATTCGGCACGGTGTCCTCATGTGGCATGGAGTCTACTATATAGACTTATACCATAATATTGGGACATTAACACATCATCTAGTTCCATGGTAAGCTACGAGGCTCGTGTTATGGATACCAGGTAGTTGATACACTACACATATATAATTTTAAATACATACATACATATTATAAATATAAATACCCAAGACTCATCACAGAAATGAATGCCCTCAGCGGGGTTCGAACCTGCGACCGCTGGCCCAGCTAGTATGGTCACTACAAATTGAGCCAAACGTGTCGTCACCCTGGTTTTAATGTATGAGTATGAATAAAACTATGTTTTCGGATTATTTCGCGGAGAGATCAGTCTCTCCCGTGACCATGATTGCTGTAAAGCATTCAAAAACGTCGGGAACCAAAAATTAAAATATATCCGCGGAAGAATCGGTAAAGATAGTTTTGTTCAAAAATGTCAAATATTCGCGTAAATCTAAGAAAGTATTATTGTACGAGTATGACGTGTGGTGTGGTGTGTGTGTGTGTGCGTAGGGACTGCAAGCCGGAGAACATCCTGCTGGACGACGCGGGGCACGTGCGCATCTCCGACCTGGGGCTGGCCGTGGACGTGCCCGAGGGCGGCAGCGTGCGCGGCCGCGTCGGCACCGTCGGCTACATGGCGCCCGAGGTCGGTACACTACGGCATTTGATCACCTGTGATCACCTTTCATTCATCACTCGTTTTAGATAAATATAGTACTAGAGACTCGCTCTAGCTTCGCTCGAGTTCGTCCCTAAGTACGTTTTAACGTTTAGTATGGAATAGATAGTTTATATATACATAGGTAAGTACTTTAAAAAAATAAAAAAATTAATCCTTTACTTGAGAAATGATTGATTCCCCATACAAATTTTTTCACTCCCTTAAGGGATGATTTCCGGGATTAAAACTGTCCTATGTCCTTCCCAGGGTCTCAAACTATCTCCATATCAAATTTCATCCAAATCGGTTCAGTGGATTTAGAATGAAAAGGTAACAGACAAACACACAGAAATACAGAATTACTTTCGCTGTTTTAATTTTAGTATGTACGAACATGACTAATAGACCGAAGGTGAGGAGGAGGTCGAGGACTTCAATATTTGTAATTTGAAAGTTACTTGATTTAAAAAAAATATGTTAAAAATGAAAATTTTAAACTAAATTTTCGTGTCGTGTCAGGTGATAGACAACGAGCGCTACACGTTCAGTCCGGACTGGTTCTCGTTCGGCTGCCTCGTGTACGAGATGATCGAGGGCCGCGCGCCCTTCCGCGCGCGCAAGGAGAAGGTCAAGCGGGAGGAGGTCGACCGCAGGGTCAAGGTGAGGGACCTTGTGTTACTTGGACATTTGGATTTTGTGTGTGTGTCTGTGTGTATATGTTACGATTATACGGTAGAATAGATAGTATATGAGCTGAGGTAACATATGGGTTAATGTTACGTTCCTAAGTATAGCTAGTAAATAATAATCTGTGAACGTTGCCTACACACGTTATATGGTAGGAGTGTATGTTTATAATGAATGGTACAGAATTTATTGTGTGTAGTTTCATATTAAAGAATTGTATAGATGATGTTCGCCAAAATGAATGATAAAGACAAATATATGTATGTATACTCTATTCACGGAGTGAACCATGCCAAGCGTCTCTGTCCCACATTGCATACAAACTGATAAGGACAGAAAACTGTCGAACTGGCGAATACAGTTTAGTAGCGTGATTTGATTTTTATGATTTTTTATTATATTGAAATCCGTTAGCTTAGGTCACTTAAGTCTTTATGTGTGCCAGTCGGGCACATATGTATGTATTTACCGTTCACTTATGATCTTCGGTCGCGTGCGCGTGTGCGTGCAGCACGAGCAGGAGAAGTACTCGAGCAAGTTCAGCGAGTGCGCGCGCGCGCTTTGCGCGGCGCTGCTGCACAAGAGCGTGGCGGCGCGGCTGGGCGGCGCGGGCCGGCGCGGCGCGCGCGCCGTCAAGCAGCACCGCTTCTTCGCGCGCCTCAACTGGGCGCGCCTCGAGGCCGGCATGGTGGACGCGCCCTTCGTGCCCGACGTGCGTACACACACACACACACACACACACACACACCCCACACCCCACACACACATACACGTCTGACATAGTACAGTTCTCGTCAAACTTTTTGTTCACCCTGAATTGGCTCGAGCCGATGCGTAGAACGAAACATTAAGGTATCAGCCGAGCGGCGCAGGGGACTCGGGTCTTTATTAATATTCTAGCGGCTCACCCTTGCTTCGCTGCTCGGGTTCGTCACTGGATTGGTTCCCCATATAAACTTTCATCTCTATTTTCATCTCCTTAAGGGATGATTTCCGGGGTAAAAAGTATCCTACGTCCTTTCCAAGGTCTCAAACTATCTTCTTACCTAATTTCATCTAAATCGGTTCAGTAGATCCAGAGATTACGCCTACAACATCACAAACTCACAAACTTTATCTCTTCATAATATTATGAAGTAATTAAATATTAAGTACATATAGACTAAGAGCACCCCATGTGACGTCATCACAAGTACGCACGTATGCACTCTTTGACGAGGCTTTACATACGTATATAATAGGCACTCTTCGCGGTCCCCTAGTACTTGTGACATAAGTACCAGGCGATCATAAGTGTTGAGAAGTGCTTTTCTTCGCTGAGCTTCAACATGTACAATGTATGTTGTTCGATGTTTATGCCACCCTGGTACTTGTAACAATGTGTATGCGCTAAGGACGAACAGCTACAGGAACTTCATTTCTATCGAGTGTCCCATGACACTGATTAATATTTATACACCAACTAGCAGAACCCGCTACTTTGCTCGCGCTAAAACTACAAAAAATCTCAAAAAAGGTAGTTTCATACAAACTTTAATCCCCTATTTTATCCCCTTATAGGATGAATTTAGAAAAATGCTAAGACAACTATTTATTTATTTTATAGAAGATATTGAATATATACAAAGTTTTAAGTAATTCCAATAATAAATATTTTTTTAAATTGTATTATAACGTGTTTTTCGGTGGGAATTAAGTAATCTACCGCGATGAAAAGTACCTTTTTTTTTAACGTTGGGAAATGCATTTATGCACGACGTGTGGGACTCACCGGCGTAATACAGCCAATACTACCCACTAAAACCCAACAAAACCTTCCCCCGTCTTAATGGGGCGTCGCAGGATCGCTTACGCATTCAACTACGACGCCCCGACGGCAGGTCTGCCGAAGCAGACCACCACAACCATGGGGTTGCTCCAAGGTCTACTCTGCTATCAGAGAAGTACCAGGAGAAACCCGCATGATACACTGCCCCCCGAAGAGGGCCACCTCCCACCGCCCACCGAAGTGGGCAACCTCCCTGTGCGTTTCTTAGCTTCGCGCCCGGTTGGATTGCCGGGCACTACTGAGCCCCCCCACCACGACAAGGTGAACGCACGTTGGGGGGGGACGATTAAAAGTACCTAGCCTATGTCACTCTCCAGCCTTCCAACTATCTGGACACAATCACGCCAATAGGTTACTCCGTTTCGACGCGAAAGAAGGACAAACAAACAGACACACTTCTACATTTATAATATTAGTGTGGATGTATAAAAGCGTGTCAATCACTTCCGTCAGCCGCACGCCGTGTACGCGAAGGACGTGCTGGACATCGAGCAGTTCTCCACCGTGAAGGGCGTGAACCTGGACGCGGCCGACGACACCTTCTACGGCAAGTTCAACACCGGCAGCGTCAGCATCCCCTGGCAGCGCGAGATGATCGAGACCGGCTGCTTCACAGAGCTCAATGTCTTCTCTATTGGTGAGTTATATACTTGTTTATTACATTTATACGGATATTTGTTATCTATACAAATACTAGCGACTCACCCCCGCTTCGCTCGAGTTCGTCTCTAGGTAAGTTTTAACGGGTGTGAAATAGAAATCTTTGAATTTCTCGGTTATTCTGTACTATAATATGCATGTGTTACAAATATAAACCTTCCTCTTGAATCACTCTATCTATTAAAAAAACCGCATCAAGAGCCGTTGCGTAGTTTTCAAGATCTAAGCATACATGGGACAGACAGACAGCGGGAAGTGACTTTATTTTATACTATGTAGTGAAATAAAATTGAAGTGTCTGTTTGTCATGTTAAAATAACAGCGTATAAGAAAAAAAAACATTTTAATTTCTTTGTCTGTCTGTTTGTTTGTTTGTCTAATCTCCAGGACGACTGGACCGATTTTGAATGGGACTTTCACTGGCAGATAGCTAATGTTATAATGAGTAACTTGGCTACTTTTGTGTTTAAAAACAATTAATTTTTCGTGCAACCAATTAAAACCCATGAAATTGTCCACACCCGCTTACCCAGGGGCGCAACCGAGCGAGGCGAGAAGTCTAAGTAAGCTAGTTTTTAATAAAAATACATCATATAGGATGTTTACGCGGATTTATTTTGCTTTTTTGTTCCCGAAGTTTTGCATGTAATTATGGTTGTAAAATAGGGAGAAAGAGAGAGAGAGAGAGACGATTTTTTAAAATAAAACTATCTTTTCGGATTATTTCGCGGATTTATTTTGATTTTTTGATTCCTGATGTTTCGAATGCTGTATAGCAATCATGGTCACGGGAGAGCAAGGTTTTAGACGTCACAAAGGCGTTATACCCTCGTTACAGACAGTATATTCGCGTAAATCTAAGAATGTATTAAGAGAGAGACGAGTCATTTCTAATATTTTCATATGAGAATCGTTTTCAATGTGATTATTTAGCTTATAAGCTTACTATGGAACTGGACGGTGCTGTGTGTTAATGTCCCGACATATTTGTTTATATTTATGTGTTGACTGAACAGACGAGGAGGGCAAGGAGTGCCGCACGGCGGACCTGCAGCTGGTGCCCGCCGCGCCCGCGCCCAGCGACGACGCCGGCTGCTTCGTATTCGCGCGACGGGTGACCACTTTATTTATTTATGTACCAGAAAAAAAAACATACAAGTGAAAACAGATACCGTGTGTACAAAGGATAACTTATCTCTTTAAGAGATCTCTACCAGATACCCTCAAGCGTGAGAAAATATAAAAATTATAAGGAGGTGCGGTGTAGGTACAAACCACAACCATCAGTAATAATATAAATATATACATATACAAACATACATACGTACATATTACATTCTTTTTTGAAAAAAATACGTGAAAAATTATATGAATGTCTAAAAAGAGTTATAGATTAAGCTTGAATCGATTATAATAGATGGCATTAATCTGCAAAGTACTTAAGAAAATATTTAGTACATAATACAATTCATGCAACATTTAATTCAACAAACAAAAGTTTTATCTTCTTTTTTTTATTATGATAAAAATCTCCAAATACGATAGATAACACAGAGTAAAAAGTAAATAACGTCATCTGCGAATACGCTACAAACTTAATACCTCATTAGGTAATAAGTTTCAATTCATTAATTGGAAAAAATAAATTAAAACAAATTGACGAGTACATTATTTCATATATATATATATGTACTATCTTTTAGAGTTCTATTGTTTTTAGTTTTGTTAATTTTTGTACTAAATAACAAATTGACACATAACAACATCTATTCTCATTGATTTGAACCGCTTTTTTATTGTTTTTGATGAGTTTATAATATGTTTGAAGGCAGTGGTAGCCCAGTGGTAACGCGCTCGCTTGGAAATCCGAGTGATGCGAGTTCAAATCCCGGGTCTCGCACCTCTGATATTTTCATGTGCGAATCATTTCTAACATGATGACCACTTGCCTTACGGTGAAGGAAAACATCGTGAGGAAACCTGCATGTCTGAGAGAACCTAGCAAGTTTTCGAAAGACATGTGAAGTCCGCCAACCCGCACTTGGCCAGCGTGGTGGACTATGGCCTGATCCCCCTCGTACTGAAGGGAGGCCCGTGCCCAGCAGTGGGACGTTAAAAAGGGCTGAATACATAATATGTTTATAATATGTTCTCTGCGCAGGTGCTTTGCCCTCAAAAGAAGGTACCGCCGCGTCTCCGCGCTGTGCCCGTGCCGGAGCACCTGCTGCAGCCCGCCTCGCCCCCGCCCGCCCTCAGCTGACCGCCCTCCCCCAACACCCACTAACTCACACTTGACAGTCCATTAGCAGAGATAAATCTCCCTACTCGCTGTATTCAGTAATAATCACATACATACTAATTACAATATACTCTGTGGATAATTTTATGGATACTTTTTTATTATAAAAAAAAATTATCCACAGATTAAATAGTGACGTTATAGTCTTAAATAAGTTCTGCGATATGCCGGTAGGAAATCTGCTCGCCGTCTACCTTTAGATAGCTCGGTTTTATTGTCATTATACTTCGAGATTCATTTCAATAGTAATGACTGAAGTAAATATGTAGATTGTTTTTTTTTTTATAATTCTGATATCTGATGGTTACTCATTTAATATACTTTTTGCATTATCTTTTTTTTATATGATAATATAAAGTATCTGTTCGAAATGCTAAACGTCATATATGTAGTTTGTATTTTTCCTCAACGCTCGCACAAACTAATTGTAAAATATTATAATAAAATATAATAAAGACATAATACCAGTGATGTTACGATATTTAAATAAGTTCAATTTAATTACTAACGTTGCACACGGTTAGCGTATTGGACAGATATTTGAGTGATAAACAGACACACAATTGTTCCTTTTTGTTATTATATTACAAAATATAATGACTACCACATAGCAATAATATGGACGAAGTTTTAACTTTAACTATATTGACTGATTTTACTGACTTCCCCAAATAAATCTGTATATTAGCTTTTAACATGACATGATATGGAATCAATTGATAGGTTATGAAATCTGTGAACAAACTGACAAGCGAACTGCTAATATTAGTATAAAAAATAATTTAATATGAACAATCGTCACATTTATCGTTCGTCTCTAGTAATAATATCCCGAATGGATTTTGTTTTTGTAATTGTAATTTTAATGATAATGCGAGAAATCTTAGTTTTTTTTAATTTTCGTGATTTATACAATTGAGGGTTTTGACTTATATTGTGGAATACAGGCATATCTCGAAATTTATTTCGATACAATTATTGCTATATTAAAATTGGATTGATTATTTCTTTCAAAATGTTAAATATTATTGTAATAAGAACATTTGTTATTTTTTTTATAAAATAACATATATTTTTTTGTAAAAAATATTTATGCTATTTTAAATTTATGATTTTATAATCTTCTAATTTGAAATGATTAGTTGCATTAATACATCATGGAAGAACATCCAATTCAATTGCATTATATTATCACTTTAAAATGATCAAACAAAGCTATACCTCTTTAATTTACTAGTAAATTTTAAGCGATTACTTTTTGAGATATGCCATTTTTATATTGATATAATGAATTATATTTATATGGTGAATACAATGCATTTTCTGTACCTGTCGAATGACGTAACACGTGTAGTGATTTCGTTAGCTAATATTGCTAGGATTATTGTAATATCGTCACATTTTATTAGATTTTGTAAAACGGCGATTAAAAATGGCCGCCATTTTATAGAACTTTGTTTTTAAATGAAATAATCATATAATTACAGTATATTATATATCAGTATTTTGATAAAATGAGTAGATTTTTATAGTAATATTTATTATTATTAGTAATTATGTAATACTCTGAAGCACACATCTAATGCAGTCACTACGTAGCGCTCGATCGGGCAATGAACAACATGAACAAACTAGCATAGGTAATACTTTTTTATATACGTATTTGATGTAATTTTGTATGGACCATCCGGTCTGCTTCATTGACAGGTTTTTTTTTTAATTTTTTTTCATTTAATGACTCATTGTAATGACAGCTGTGTGTTGTAGATTTATTTATTAAGTATGGATTAATTTGATATGTTAAAAAAAGATGGCGCTGGAAGTTGACTTACATAAATGAGTATAATTTTTCTGATAAGCAAATTTAAAACAGTTGCCATGTACCATTCATATTTTTTATTAACATCCTTTTTTGTGCTTTGACATACATTTTTTTATTAAATATTAATTGAAGATTATTTGACAATTCAATTCTCTTGTTAATGGCTTCAAAGGGTGCCAGTTGGGCATAGATTACTTATATCTTGATAATTTTACAATAAAATCTACAATGTACAGCTGTCAATGTAGATATTATCTCGTTACTAAAACGTATTGTGAAGTATATAATTTATAATTTGCCCCGACGACGGGTTCTTTGAATTTAATAGCACATTTCTTAATTTCAACGTGGCAACACTGAGAATATATTAGTAATGTATAAGTAATACAAACGATGGTATGAGATTGTTGTGGAGAAATTCCAGATTTTTTATAAGCTTTTATTGAAAATTGTTTACATATCTTCTTTATATACTTCATGCGCGTTATGTTTCGTCGGGGCGCTGTGTTTTTTATTACTGCAAAGGACAAACGTCGATATTATTTATATTTATTTATGGAATTACGTTAAATGTACATTTTTAGGAGCGGAGAGTATTTGATAGTTATTGCTTATTCGTGTTTTTCATCTTTGTGTCGGGTGTATGGTGTGAGGAACTCGCGTTGAGAATGATTGGTAATGAAATATATAATGCTTGTATTCGAAGTCGATACGTAAAGCTGTTTTAATGAAACTAGGTCGTGGTACATAGCTTTTCGGAGGTAGGGCAAGTTTAGCAAAAATGCAAATATTTTCTTATTAACATATAGACAAAATAGAGGGTACGTGATGTTTAGATGTATAGATTGGAATAAAGCTTTCCGGTAATTGTAGGACGGAGTTTAGACGAAGCAAGATATTTAGTCTGTGGTACGCATCGATAATAAATATATAGAAGAAATCGTGATAATTTTAAAGTTATAATTAAAAACTCATTCGTAATATGTACATTATGTGTTGCATAAAAGAGACAGATGATGCATTTAGTTGTCTGTCTCTGTCTATCGTATGAAGTAGACCTTCTGTATGTATATTATCGGACGTAGCCAGCCGTAGGCGGCAGTAGGCAAGAGATATAGAATCGAAGCTTATTTATTTTCAATGCAATAAAATAATATTTTTTTACCTTTTTGAATAAATTATGATATGTATTATGTATTACAAAGTGCAATCGAGCAATAATGACTAATCGAAAAAAAAAATCTCTTAGATCGTGAATTTGAAACTTGATGTTTTTTCTATATAGAAATTTTGAAATACTGTAAATGTCTTTGTATAGGATTTTTGAAATCTATTGGATTTGGAGGGCTCGTCTCGAGGTTTGTTTTTAGATATGTAAGAAGAGGACAGTGATAGAGAGGTACAATCCTGTCTCTTTCTTAGCAAATGTCGACGGACTCGGCGGGTCGATGTTTTTTAATATTTCGTCATGTGACGTGCTTTCCTTCTATATGTAGGTACGTAAATTTTGCTTTATCTCTTTTTAACTATATTTTTTTGTAATATACCTACTGAGTATTTAAAGAAAAAATGTAAAATTAAGACTTCACTCTTGGTCACTTCGGTCACTTACCGGTTTGGATGTTGAGATCGTAGCTTTTGTTCCGTCGTATATTCATATATTTATTGGTTTCAAAATTTCGTTGTCATAAAAAACGGTGTAGATGTACAAGTGAAGGAATTTTGGACATGTCTCGAACTATCACGAACTCGACGTACAATTAGTTAGATTTAACATTTGGAACATCCTTCAATTTCAAAACGTAATGCACAAATTAATGTAATGTTTATGAGATATTTTGACGCCATATTGTACATTGCCAGTAAATTCTTCCATATTTATTAGGTGTAAGTATTAAAGCATTTTGATGTGTACTTTTTATTGTATGTATTTTTCGAATTCTCCTATTCGATGACGTCGCCGTGTTGCGGGAATATGGGGAGAAGTAACCTTTTAGATGTAATAATAGGGTGTTTTAATGTCAATTTGCTCACAGTAGTTTATAATAGCTAACGGCACTGCTCAGGATTTAACAAACGTCCCCATATTTGCCGCAAACCCACGTTTTTTTAAGGATTTTTTTATATATATTTTCTTATCGTTATATGTATGTACATCTTCTGTTATCGCGTTCCCTCCGACTGCTTTTTCCATTCCAAAATTCAGATCGCCATGATAGCATAGTATTTTTTTACATAGCAATATGTGGTGGTGAGTAACGGAAGAGTGTTTTTTGAGTCCCCTCATTGTTGAAATGGTTTGATATTTGTTTTTCTTTTATTTTAATAATAATAATGCAGATTAAAAATGTCCTTTTTGTTATATAACGTCGAGCGTTTTAAGTAATACACATATAAAAGGAGCTCTAAATAGTCATGAGAAAGCAGAACTTGTGAGCATTTACAAACAAACACACACTCGTCATTGATGTTTTGTATGAATTTATTATTTATATATTATGTGATGCGTGTAACGGAACGGCTAAGTATTTGTTGGAGAGTAATTTTTTTTCATGAACATTAATCGAATTGTAGTTTTAGTATGTTTTTTTTTTGTTATTTTGTGGAACACGTTCCGTTATACGTACATCGTCATACCTGTATTATACTCATAGTTGCATTTTCGACTAAATGTATTGAGATATTAACTTGTATTTATATTTGTAAGGTATGTTCGGGCCGTGGTCGGTGTATGAATTTCAACCGTATTCATTAATAATTAAGGTTGGAATTCATACATAATATTAAATCCCAGGCGGGTTGTACCTAGCGTCTAGTGAAGCGTAATTTAGCTTTCTTGATACTGTTAGTTGTTATTGCAGTATTTTGATGCAAATATTATTATTTAATAAGCGTATTCATAAATAAATTGACTCCGATATAGCATGCTTGTTTTTATTTCCCGTTTTTTTTTATTTATAAAACAAAAAAAACTTTAGGTTTGAAGAAGAAACAATTAAGAAGTTTACAAAAACATCTAAATTATAATGGAATATTATTTAGATCTTTTTATTATTATACAATTACAGGTTAGACTTTGAAACACTGATCAGTCATCAGTAGTCATCCTAAAAGAGATCCTATATTTAATCTAAGTTTAAATATTATTTAAAATATTTAGTTGAAATCTTAAAAGACTTATTTTTGTATAGAGTTTCAAGTCAAGAAATTAAAACATACGAAGCAATATGAACACAATTTATTACAATTTAAAATTTTATTAACAGTTCTTCATCCATAAATATAGAAAGATCAGTCGAACATTAAATATCTACACTCTACAATAAAATGCACATATTTCCCCTGAATTTGCGTACACTGTGTTGATTTAAAATTCTTTGACTAAAAATTTCGTATTTTTTTATATAATAACTAGCTTTTAAAGATTAAATAAGGACGAAAGAAAGTTTTTTTAAATTTTGTTTAAAAATAATAATAATTTAACATACTTTTTTATTCTAAATTCTGTTAGTGTATATTTATGTAAGTATACCATTCAAACATTGCGCTATAAAAAGTAAAATAATTCGTGTTTTTAGTATGAAGGCGTAGTCTGCTTATAGTACAGGTTGAATAAGTCGCCATTTCTGATCTATCTTTATATATTGCACTAGCATTGCCCGCGGCTCCGCCCGCGTTCAGAGACCAAAATCCAAATTCTTAGGTTTTACATATTAGTCTACTCTTACATTGCAGTTTTTGTATTTTTTTTTAGATATGAGACATTTCCCCGCCGTAAAAAGTATCCTATATGTTCACCACATACCAAATTTCGTCAAATTCTCTCCAGTGGTTTTTCCGTGATGAGGTAACAGACAGACAGACATCCAGACAGACAGACAGACAAAAATTCTAAAAACTATAGATTTAGCCTCTGTATCGATAATAATGTCTATTTCAATACAATTTTATTATATGTATAGATGTATACAATATTATATGACATATTCCAAAATCCAAAAAATCAAAATGGAGTTTGAAACACCCTTATTAAAAATCTAATATAATATTAAATTAAAAAAAACACAGTGTACACTCTATAACTAGTAAATAAAAACTAACAATTCAATAAACTGTACAATTTCTAAAGACCTATCTATTCACCCGCTCGCCTTCTTCTTTTCCTTGTCCACATATATCCTCGGGAAAAGAACAAATTTCCCACTTTGTATATTTTTCGTCTCAGATATAACCCCTTCTTGCAGCCACGAGGGAGTCTCGCAATGTTGCCAGCTTCTACACTCTTTAGGTATTTGTAATTTATCCAATAACTTTGTACTCAAACTCGGTATGATTGGTTGTAGGATGATAGAGCAAATTCTGAGGGTTTCCAGGGTTACGTGGAGGATCACGTCTAGTTCCTTCTGACATTCTGGTTTCTTCTTTAGTTCCCAGGGTTTCATGGTCTCGAAGAACAGGTTGGTGTGGTGCAGCACGTGGATGACGGCGTCCACTGCTTTGTAGAACTGGTAGTTTGAGAAGTGTTTGTGGCATGTCTCTGTGGAACAACAATTTCATTAATCAACTTATTCTTCCTAAATAAAACATTTAAAGAAGGTGAGTAGTCAGTTTTACTGGATTATGACTGAATGAAAATTTTTTATGATTATTTAACTTTTTTTTAATTATTAGTATAAATAAAACGTCACTTTTGATGAGATAATCACGACAATTTGACGGCACTGGTAAGATGACGTGCAGCTCTTTGAGTTGGTACTGACAAGACAATTACTTGATAAAAAACCCAACTATACTTAGCCTGATCCGAAATTCAAATTCAGGATCTCATTATCTACATATGTATGTACATGCTAGCAATTAGAGTCTCGCGGTGAATATTATATTGAGTGAATGAATAATGTACCACTAAACCAACGAGAACAGTAAATGTCAGATCGAGTGAATGGATGAACAAAACAATGATTAATAGTTAGACTATCAAGTGAATGAGTGTCATATTGAGTGAATGCATCAAAGGATCACTAGACTAAGTACTAAATATAATATTCGGTATATACACTAAACAAACAGACAGTTGACTACCACCCACTAGGTAATTTTCTCACCTTGAGCACCAACTGTTCCCTGCCACAGCGACGGAGCTGTGCGGGTCCAGCGTGGAGAACTCCTCGCATAGTGAATGAATGAACTACTAGATTAACGAGTGGGTACTGAGAAGTAAACGTTATATTTAAAAAATGAATGAAAGAATGGTAAACGAGTAGACCAACGAGTGAATAATGAATGTTATATTGAATGAATGAACGATGAGACCGTAACCACTAGCCTAATGATGATGAATAGTGAATATTATATAAAGTGTAAGTAACAAAAGATTTATAACATTTGCCTTACGGTGAAAGAAAACATCGTGAGGAAAACTGTATGTCTGAGAGAAACTAGCAAGTTTTCGAATGACATGTGAAGTCCGCCAAACCCCATGCGGTGGACTAAGGCCTGATCCGCCTCGTATTGAAGAGAGGCCCGTGCCCAGCAGTGAGTGGGACGTTAAAAGGGTTGAATACAACAAAAGATCAGAGCAGCACTCACCAGGCAAGGCCTCCACCTTGCGCAGCAGGTCGGCCACGAGGTCGCGGCGCGCGGCGCGGCGCAGGCCGTGCGGGTGCAGCGCGGGGAACTCGGCGCGCGGGTTGAGGGCGGCGCCGGCCGCGCGCGCCGCCAGGTTGCCCAGCGTGTCCGCCAGCTCCGAGTTCGCGATGTTGATCAGCTTCGTCTCTGTGTAGTCTGCCGTGTGAGGGATACGCAAGTATTAATCATCTGTGTTGTCTGAGATACGTATTTATTCAGTATTTTTTTAACGTTCCACGTCTAGGCAATTACTATAATTTAGGTTCATTATTTTAATAATTCAATGGCAATTTGTAATCGAGCTTAGACGGTCCATGCTCAGCAGTTGAACTTTCAGAGACCCTAAAATCATGACATAAATTAATCAAATATAATAATTTAATACTTATTATATTAAAATTCGAAATATTTTATTCAGTATTGAACCGTTACTATTTTTTATTGAACGTCATGAGTCAACTACCAGTTTGGAAAGAAAAAGCCTCAACCTGAGAAGAATTAAGTTATATACAAATTATATTATTTTTATAAAGTTTAATATCCTTGAGACGATCACTTCATTCCCAAAACGCTGCTATCTTCTATAAAATCATTTATTGTATAATAAATAGCCTTTAGCACGCAAACGTTTTTTAACAATTCTTTTGAATTTGACGCTAGAAGCTTTTTGAACATTTTCTGGGATCCTGTTGTAGACGCGTATAGATAGTCCTTAAAAAAAATTACTTACTTTGTGTGGTAAAATATTCAGAATTTAAAGAAATCTCACTAGCATCGTCGGCAAGTGTAGCTTCTCTCAGCAGCACGTAGCGCAGCGCGTGGGGCGCGGGCGCGGCGCGCGGCGCCACCACGTTGCCTAGCGACTTGGACATCTTGGCGCCGGCCACCGTCCAGTGCGCGTGCGCCACCAGCCGGCGCGGCGGGTGCCAGCCCGCTGCCATCAGGAACGCCGGCCAGTAGATACCGTGGAACCTGGGGGAAAAGACCCGCTTTAAAAACATCTAGATGATTATGGGATATTGTTTGATATGTTATATAATGATCGAAGAATTACAGGTTAGACTTTGCAACACTGATCAGTTACAATCCTAAGAGAAAGTATTAAAGTAGATGCCGTGGAACCTTGTGGAAACGACCTCATACTATTTTTAAATAAAACTATCTTTTTGAATTATTTCGCGGATTTATTTTCATTATTGATTCCCGACTTTTCGAATGCTTTACAACAATCGTGGTCACGGTAGAGATTGAGGTTTTAGACGTCTCAAAGGCGTTATATACTAGTTACAGACAGTGACAACAGATAATAATAACACTTAAAATAAAATAAATAATATTAGGTACTTGTATTTAATTATAATACTTGCTGAAAAAAAAATGAATTAAAATCAAAAAATATTGTAAGGTATTCTGGTGCCATTTTAAAATCTTTTGAAATCATTTTTGAAAAATTGTGGGTACAAGGTAAGGTAGGGAGAGGGACTCATTAGCGTCCGGCACTTCATCCGGTCGCGAAGCCAAGAAACGCACAGGGTGGGTGGCCCACTTCGGTGGGTGGCCCACTTCGGTGGGCGGTGTGCCATGCGGGTTGCTCCTGGCACTTCTCTGATAGCAGAGTGGACCTTCGAGCAACCTCATGGTCGTTGTGGTCTGTTTCGGCAGACCTGCCGTCGGGGCGTCGTAGTTGAGTGCGTAAGTTATCCTGAGACGCCCCATTAAGAAGGGGGAGGTTTTGTTGGATTTTAGTGGGTAGTACTAGCTTTTCTAGCCGGTGAGTCCTATAGCCACTGTGTATCTACCGGCGGTATGCGTAAATGCATTACCCAACATAAAAAAAAGGATATTGACGTCCCGATATTCCAATATTCATAGTTACCACAGAAATCGCTTACACGTAAAATTCATATAGAGAAAAAAGAAATGGCATCAAAGTACATTATAATTAAAGAAAATACAATAGATAAGTAATAAATTATCTCACTTCAGTATATCCTTGCCCACGACGTGTACGTCAGCTGGCCATATCCTATCCGAGTGCACTCTATCCTTGTCCGGATATCCGCATACTGTCAGATAATTGATGAGAGCGTCCAGCCACACGTAGATGCTTTGCTCTTCATCATCAGGGACCTTAGGATTTATACAGACTATCTTTATTTCGAATTTCACTCAAATCCGTTGAGCCGTTACAGTGTGTGGAAAGGATGAACATACTCACAAAATTTTCATGACAACATTTATAGCTTCACTATCATCTTACCCTCGCTTTGCAAGAATCTAATTCTAGGTGCTTAAATAAGTAGAATGTATAAAGTATGCTTCAGACATGTATTTTTAATTCTTATTTTTGGTGTAATGACGTTACACACTGTCCACTACGCGACAATATTATAGTACCTGGAAGACCGTCGTTTTCTCGGCGTTTATCGGTAAAGATATAAAATTTGCTTAAGTCTATGTGTTACTCCAGCTTATAGTTTATCTGTGTACAAAATTTCGTCCAAATCCGTACAGCCGTTTCAGCATGAAAGAGTGACAAGCAAACATACATACAAACTTTAGTATTCAGCAGTAGCCCGATCGTGATACTCACTCGTATAGCCCAATGCACTCTACTGGAAGGTCGACTGACAGATATGTCGGGGAAGTACTTTTCATTAGAGAGATAATCTTGTAATTGCTTTTGAAACTTGCTAGGGGTTATCACACCATCTAAAATGTCAACATACACACGGTGTTATGTAAACTATAGGGCAGATATCACTACGACATAATTATATAAATACAAAATAATTAACTTCATACAAAAATATGATACATATTTATAAATTACTAGCGACTCACCCTGGCTTCGCTTCGGATTCGTACCTAGACAGAAACAAATCCATCCCACGGGAGCCGTATATTTTTCCGGGATAAAAAGTAACCTATGTGCTATTCCAGACTAGATTCTATTTATCCAGATCCGTTCAGCCGTTTTGGCGTGAAAGAGTAACAAACATCCATTCATCCGTCCATCCTCACAAACATTCACATTTATAATGTTATAACTAGCGTCAACTAAAAAGAACGCTGGAAGAAAGTGGAGAGGGTATGTTTGCGCATAGCAATACATATAATAGCAAGGGTATACTCGCGCAGAAAAGTACTAAGTCTATTATTTTATTTTTCATAGCATTTCGCTCGCGGCTTCATATATTAGTTATTGGTAGGGACATTGAAAAACATATTAGATAGAATATCATTAAATAGAATTCTATTCATTATTAAAATATGTTTGATTCAGTGTTGAATATTTAATTTACTTACAAAAAATTAAATTAATACGTTTAATACATTTTTTTTTAAACAATATACGTCAAAAACAATTTTTCTCTTTTCTATATATAAAACCATTTCGTAATTAAAAAATTTAAAAAATGTGTTTTTCTTTTCAATTTTATTTATCTGTATAGACGCTTGGGCGAATTTTAGAAGGCGAATCTTATAGTTTTTAGAATTTTTGTCTGTCTGGGGACACATCACGATAACACCACTGGGCAGATTTTGATAGCTGGTTATCCGCGTATAGGATACTTTTTACTGATCTCTGAGAAATCTATACTAACCGTTAAAACGTACCTAGGGACGAACCCGAGCGGAGCGACGGTGAGTCGCTAGTATACTATACATGATTCCTTACTGCAGATAAAAAAAAATAAAAAAATTATTAGCATTGTAGGCTTCACTTACTATGTGGTTCATATAATATGTTATCTTTAGTCTAATATTGTATAGATAATTGTAAAATTAACTTACCCTGTTTTAGCCATTGCTGTAAATGAGTTTTGAAAGCACTAAGTCTGAACATGTAATTTGTTTCCTCCGTCCACTCCACTCTGTGACCAGACTCTACTGAAACTTTTACCTGTCATGTTTAAATGAAAGCAAAATTTAGAAAAGTTTAGAAAATATTAGGGACTTACACTCATTTCTCTCAGGTTTGTCTCTATGGTAAAATGGTTTAGGAATGACACACATTCAAACAAAAATTCTTTTTTTTTTGCGCCATAAGCCTTCACAGGTGTGTACAGATTAACGCACCAGAGTTTTATCACAATTGGATCAATGATTTTGGAATGCATATAAGATAAACATATGAACTTTCATTTTTACTTATATACATATATTAATATTGAAGAAATAAAGCAATATTATTGTATAATTAAGTGTTTTAATCACTGTATTAAATATTACAATTTTCAATATCGAGAATGTACATGACACCGGTTCCAAAGAGAATGACAGAGAGGGGCAAAGACAAAGCAGAGTGCCGAGTAGACACTTGAGTGTGATCATAGATTATAAATATAACGATTGAACGATTGTAATAAACAAATATGTTTTGGTTTATGGCTATATTCCAATAAATATGATGGTACTAATGACTATTCAATTCAATTTTTAGTTCTGGGCCTCATAGGCGTGCCATTCGGGCACAGTTTACTTCACCTCTTTTCAATGTTATGTCATTTTACTCGTACCATACTATGTGAAATTTCTTCAGTAATTATTTAACATATATATCAAATATATAACCAAATAAATGTACTAAGATAAAAACTTGACAATTTTGTTATAATCAAATTGTTTCAATGACATTCTCTTGGGTTGCTTTGTGAAAGAAAGTAACATCAAAAACCACATTATTATATTTTTATATCAGTTCTTAAGACTTATATGATATTAAGAGGTTTATTTGAAATTGTTGTTTCACTTTGCTAAAATGAAATCTATACATTTGCAGTTTCAACTCTTGTTAATCACTTCAAAGCGTCCAGTTGAAGGCAACTTACTTCACCAATAGCACATATAACGGAGAAGACATGAAGGAGATCAGTGGAAAAGAACATCTGTATTATACTGTCTTAATTTCATTAAATTATTAATGTCAATTTAATATAATTTTTTTTCAAAGTAGTGATCTTATAGTTAGTTCTACACTACCTTGCCATCTTTTGTGACTTCATCCCTTGTATGAGCCTCGGGCACAAATGCTTCATCATTGACACTATACCACCCTGAATATTTGGCTTTATAAATGTAATCTCTTTTTACTAATGTACGCTATAACAAATAATACATACATTATAATAACAATATAATATAGTTTATTAAACAGAAAAAAGTAAATTATGGATTATACATTGTAGTATCAGCATTTAGTATGTTGCCATATAATCATTTCTGTTCGTTGCTGAAGGATTAATATATAAATGCTACAGTTTTTAATTCATCATAAGTTACTCTTGTCATAGTCATTTATACCTCAACCCTGTTAATAATAAAAATAGCTTAAATAATGTAAATAATAGCAATAATGTAAATAGCTTACCCAAAAATGCCTTACTGCTTTCTTATGCCTTTCCTCAGTAGTTCTTACAAAATCTGTATATTCTACTTCAAATTCTTTAAACAGATCTCTATACTCCTTTGAAATATTATTACAATATTCATATAATGGGAGATTTGCTTTTGCAGCTGCTTGTTGTATTTTAGTCCCATGTTCATCTGTGCCTATAAAGAAAAAGAAATTGTTGTATAAAAATAGTTTAAAGGTTTTGTTCTACTTATTAAATATTTCATTAATGTAAGCAGTACACTTTAAATAGTAGAGAGGCAGAAAAATATAAAAAATGGGGTGTTTAGTAATGAACATGTTAATTTCATATAGTAAAATATTTTGAAAAATTATGAAATCTTTAATACCTGTACTAAATATAACATTGCAGTCTGGATTAGTTAGTTTTTCAAATCTCTGTATTGCATCTGCCACTACTGCTGAGTATAAGTGGCCCAAATGTGGCGCTAAAACCAATATGAATACGTAACATTAAAATACCGCGAAAATATTAAATTAAGTACAAAAAAATACTTAGGCACATGATTATCTTACCAGCATTCACATAAAATATCGGAGTCGTAATAAAGAAAGGTCTTTTTTTAACAACTGAGGACAGTAAACGAACAGTCAGCCGCATTTTTATAATTTGCTATTTTAGTATTATTCAAATTTAATTTTAGGTTATAAATCTAAAATCTTGCTTTAAGACTAACATTTATTATAACATTTATTAAATAAATTTATTTACACACTGATGACTGACATAATTAATAAAAGACTTTTCTTTCCACATTAAAATAATCGCTTTTGGAAAAATACATCACCGATGTTATGACTTTTGACATTTAATAAATTAGAAATTTAAAATAAACTCGATTATATTATAAGTTTATATTAAATTATATATTATTTCAGAACGTTATGTTAAATTTTAATAAAAGTAAATTATGATTTCCATTTTTATTATTATACGTGTAAATATTTAGTATATTAATAAAATATTTTAGAAGTTTTTTTTTCAAAACACATGCTTTTGCCAGCGTCGAATCTTTGACAACTGACAGATAAATATAGCTGAAATTTTTGGAGTCGCACTATAAACGCCGTACCGAATTCTAAATATTCATGAAATCTAATTTTACTTTTAAGATATATTGTTTTTAACATCTGAGTTTATTTCTGTCACTGCTACCTACAAGCTTCATGATGAAAGACGAAGAAAATGAAAACGAATATAACCGCAACATGGTAATTTATACACCGATATTGTTTATAAACTTGTCACTTTTTACCTTGAACCTAAAATGTTTTTTTTTTGTAAACTACATCTGTTCATCTAAATCATACACACAAGAATTACTGAAGCGATAGTCTAGTTTTTCTGTTATTTTTAGATACAGAAATATGTAACAAGTTCATCAAACCAAACTAAACATTATTTTTTTCAAACCAAATTGAACATTACTGTTGTTTTTGCGACATTACTCGTTTTTCATGATTTAAATACAAAATACATGTAGCATTACAATATGGTAAGAATTCAATTCTGCAAACTACCTTCTGAATATGTGAAGATTGAACTTTATCACAATTTCAATTATTATAATTAGGATCGCAGTCCATCTCCTGGTGTGAAATCTACTGCAGTGGTTAAATATACAGCATTCCAGAGCCCAGTTGGCTATGCAAGACTACAATGTAATACAGATCTTAATTTACCACCTTCCAATTGGGGTGGGATAGATACTTATGGTCTGAAACAGATATTGACTAGAGATAGCGGGTTGTCCAGGTATGTTTTAAAAAATAAATCTTATTTATTATTTAAAATTAAAATCATTATTTTTAATATGTATATTAAAGAAAACTTAAGATTAAGATTTAAAATTAAACATGGCAGTGGTGGTGTTTGCAACCTTTGTTCAATAAGTAAAAATACTATAATAAAAGAGATTCATGCAAATGAAGTTTGATATTGATTAGTTTTATTGATTTCTATAAAATGTTATGTTTATAGCTAATATATAAACCTATTCCAACTTTTTAAGTATTATAATTCATAAGAAATTATAATGCAATTAATATAACTTCAGCAATTGATATAGATTAATGGTGATTTGATGGATATATGTATGTACAATTACATGTGCAATTATTATTAAATATTTATTTACAGCTTTAGAATGGCACACATGTTTCCCGACTGTGTGGGGGAAGTGGATGTTATATCTGATGCAGAATGCATAAAAAAATTACTTAAACTTCCATATCAGCCTAATGGAACAGTAAGTATTATATTTGAAGATAATCTATTAATAATTAATTAATGATGGATTAGATATATATGTATTCAGAACTAGCATTGCCCGCGGCTCTGCCTGCGTTCAGGTGACCAAAAACCAAATTCTTTGGTTTTACATATTAGTATACTCTTACATTGCAGTTTTTGTATTTTTCTCAGAAATTAGATATTTTCCGGCAGTAAAAAGTATCCTATATGTTAACCCGGATAACCAGCTATCACCTTACCAAACTTCATCAAAATCCCTCCAGTGATGGTAACAGACAGACAAAGATTCTAAAAACTATAGATTCAGCCTCTGTATCGATAATAATATTTATTTCAATAAGATTTTCCAAAAAATATTTAATGTACAGATTCAGCTTAGTTACAATTTCATTATATGTATAGATGTGGAATGCCTATATATAATGGTGTAAAATATACTATATATGTACCATAATTTATGTTTCTTTGACTGACACAATTTATGATATTAACTATGGATTATTGGATATATAATGATTTATATAGTTTTATACTTTTTCACTTATTAGTTATTACGCCTCGGTGGTGTAGGGGCTAGCATGTACGGCTGCACACCCGGAGGTCCTGGGTTCGAGTCCCGGGTCGGGCCAAGTTTAGTTATTGAGTTTTTTTTTTTTTTTATACTATTCAAAATTAGTGCTTGACTACGTTCCACCTGATGGTAAGTGGTAACGCAGTCGTAGATGGTGAGTCGCACTAATTCAGTAGCCACCTATTCAATCTTGCCTTGAAGACACCCATATTATAATCGGACGGAAACACCGACGCAGGCAGGTTTTCTGTATAGTAAGCCTCAGTAACAGCCCGGAGTTGGGAAATTGGCGGTGTTTCACCCCCGTGCCTCGGAGAGCACGTAAAGCCGTCGGTCCTGCGCCTTAACTCTCACTGGTCGTGTCGAGTGGTCGTCCCACCAGAGTATGAGAGTGACAGGAATAAGAAGGAAGAAGAATAATATCTCCTGCGCAGTTGGCTAGTCTCAATGAGATTGGCCGCCGTGGCCGGAATCGGTCAGGAGAACATCGAACATCAGTTATTACGCATTGCTATTTTGTAAATGAATTATAAATATATGCAGCATTTTATATGGCATTGAAACTTATTTGATAGTTAAGATACTAAGTTGGAATGTAAAAATATTTCTCATAAGTATGGATAATGGAAAAAAATTGATACAAATATGTCATTTCAAAAACAACCTGAGTATTGTTAAATATTTCTTCTAGGTGAGTATGATGGTCCATAGAGTTGAGAATACCCTCCTGTTGGACGATTTTGATGTTTATGAATATTTGATGAAATCGGAGTGGTCTTGGCTGAAGGATTTCTTTTATGAAAATATTCTCAAAACTATGTCAGAGAAGGTGAATATTTTTAAATGTATATAATTTATAATAACATATTGAAAATAATATGTGGTTTCTAATTTGGAACCAATTGTTTACAAACAAATGAAAGATACTTGTGGTTAAATAAAACTATCTTTTTGGAGAGACTCTCCCGTGTCTATAAAGCATTCGAAACGTCGTGAACCAAAAATCAAAATAAATCTGTGAAAATATCTAAAAAGATAGTTTTATTTAAAATGATAAATATTTGCCATGAATAAATCCAAGAAAGTATTATTGCACCAGCTTTAAGTGTCACTTATAAAAATTATTTTGGATAGGTACTTATGTTTCTTGTTGTCTCATGCAAATAAAACACTTATCTTTTAGGGCCTTAAAGACTGTGTAAATGATTACTTTTTCGCTCGGTACTGCCCTCAGCGACTCCTTTTGTTTTTACAATGCAGGCACTGCATTGTATATATATATATATATATATATATATATATATATATATATATATATATATATATATAATAACATCTTTTGGCATTTTTTTTTTACTGATAATGCCTATGTGTTACTCCAAGGCGTAGACTATCTGTGTACTACATTTTTTCCAAATCGGACTAGCTGATTAAGCGTGAAGGAGTAACAAACATACTTTCGCAATTATAATAGTAATCTGATTTAAATCGGAAATTAAATTAAAAAAAAACATCATATTGTAAATTTTTGTTAAAATCATATAATAAATTTAAATGAATGTCATAAATAAAGAGCTATTAGCTTGAATAGACAATAGATGATGTTGATATGGAAACTTTTGCATCCAACTGTTGGGCACGGGCCTCCCTTCAATACGAGGGGGATCAGGCCATAGTCCACCACGCTGGCCAAGTGCGGGTTGGCGGACTTCACATGTCTTTCGAAAACTTGCTAGGTTCTCTCAGACATACAGGTTTCCTCACGATGTTTTCCTTCATCGTAAGATAACTGGTAATCATGTTAGAAATGATTCACACATTTAAATATTAGATGTGCAAGACCCGGGATTTGAACCCGCTTCACTCTATTTACCAAGCGAGGGCGCTACCTCTGGGCTTCCACTGCCTTGCATTTGTAATAGTTTATTATAACCCCAATATTTATAAACAGGAACGGATGTCATTAACAATCGCACCGAGCCCCAGTTCAGCTTTACAACTTACTCATAAGTTTCTCTCGCATAGTGTTGTGGAACGTCCGGAACCTTTGCCTAGTGATGTACCACACACCCCTATGTGCTTGACCGGTTAGTATATACAAATTTAAAAATAACACTATCTTTCCAGATTTTTTCGCGCATTTATTTTGATTTTTGGTTTCATTTTTTTTTTAAATCATTGTGTAATTTTGTGGGTAGGCAATGTCTATACAACAACTATATACTTAGGACTTAAGACGTCTAAAACCTTAGTCTTTCTCGTGACCGTGATATCTGTAAAACATCTGAAACGTCGGGAACCAAAAATCGAAATAAATCCCAAAAAAATTCCGAAAAGATAGTTTCATATAAAATGCTAATGTAAATCTAAGAAAGTATGTCATTTAAAAATTGTCAAATTAGTTATAGTAATAATACTAAAACATATATTAATACTAGTATTAAGTAGGAGTAAATATGACGCTAATATTGTCACGAGTGACGAATTTTGAAAATATTATTTCATAATACAGTAATAAATTTGAACATGAATCAATTAGTATGTAATTTTAAGTTAAGACAATACTGGTGACAAGTATTGATTGATGTTTCAAGCGATATGTTTTTAATAGGCCCTTTTCTGCCGGAACCGGAAACGAGACAAGAAGAGCCCACAAACGAACGAAGCTTCAACAGAAACGTGCTCTGGACTTTTGAAGATATTCACATGTTGATTGGCAGTAATTTACCCATATTCGGTGATAAAGACCGTCCCTGTGTCAGTCTACGTTTGCGAGATGCGAGGGAACCAATAAACGTACTTACAGGAATAGACTACTGGTTGGACAACCTGATGTGCAATGTCCCTGAAGTTCTTATGTGCTACCATTTAGATGGAATAGTCCAGAAATACGAGCCAATGAAGACAGAAGATCTACCACACATGGAAAACTCCAGATTTTCACCGAAAGTCATAAGAAATGTGGCGCAGAATATATTATCGTTTCTCAAGTCGAATGCAACTAAAGCTGGTCATACATACTGGTTATTCAAAGGGCCTCATGATGATGTAGTAAAGCTGTACGACTTGACATCTCTCTGTCCAGATACAATGGATAACCCATTCACAACCCCTGTAGCTATGCTTTTGTACAGGGTTGCCAGGAATATGAGACTTATGAATAGATCCAAGCATGTCAAGCAGTTGTTGGAACACGTGGTCGAACTGCTGAAGGTTGAGAGATACCCTCAAATAGTGGCCTCCTCACATTACATGTTAGCGGATTTGTATGTACCCGCCACTACTAATCCGGCGTGCCCGAATTTTAAAGGTAAATAATAAATTATTATGATCTTTTATTGTGTTGAAGTTATACTTCTTTTGGTACGTTTGGAAAAAAATATGAGAGTACAATTTTTACGATGTGTGCGCACACTGACAGCCAAAAAGCGACATGATGAAGTTAGCTGCATTCCTTTTACAAACAGAGAGTTGTGACATACGGGATGAAATCTTTAGATATTTTTGTTCTGTTACGCCTAAGAAATATAACTTCTTATGTTCGTGCATAAGTACACACACACGTTTTTTTAGTTGGTCTAGTTGGTTTGTTGCTAAATTATTTGTAACAAGTTAGTAGACTTACTCTCGCTTTGGTTGCATTTTAGGTTTCTTTTGGTTTTATAATATTGTATACAAGTAGCGTTACCTTTTGGCCATTTTTGTTACTAATAGTGTCTGTTATTCTGTGTTACTCCAGCCCATAGCCTATCTGTGTACTAAATTTCGCCCAAATCCGTTCAGCCGTTTCAGCGTGAACGAGTAACAAACACACACACACATACATACATACAAGCTTTCGCGTTTATAATAAACTAGCGACTCGCACTCGTTTTGCTTTGGGTTTTTCCCTAGACAAAAACAAATCTATCCCATGGGAACTGTATATTTTCCAGGACAAAAGGAACCTATGTGCTATTTCAGACTATAATGTATCTCTGTTAAAATTTCATTCAGATTCGTTCAGCCGTTCTGGCGTGATTGAGTAACAAACGTCTATCCAAACTTTCATATTTTATGATATTAATTAATGGGATTAGTATGGAAGTGTGATTTTAAATTATGCATCATATTTTAGATGAAAGCTCTGATTCGGAAGAAGAATCGGATTTCGGCAACTACGCGGAATTTGCGCGACACTCCACGTCGGATCTGGACAGTGCCATAGACAAGGATGACGACAAAGTGGAGATAATGAGCGATACCACAGACAAGGTGTGTTGGATAGGTGGATTGGTTAAATTCATTTAAAAGACATTACTTAAATTTTCGTCTGTAAAATTATTAATATAATACACAATACAAATTATTAATACATTATTATGAGTATTTAGAATCGTAGATGAAATTAATAAATTCCGAACGAATGAATTTATTGAAAGGTATGTAATTATTATTTATTTTATTTATTTGATCATTTATTTCAAGCAATATTTACAAAAACGTACCGTACGAACATTTAAGTACATACACATTACAAATATAAACACCCATGACTGGACAAACATTCATGGTCATCACACAAATGAATGCCCCCAGCGGGACTCGAACCCACGACCGCTGGCACAGCAACTAAGGTCATTACAAACTGAGATAAATTGTCTTAAAATTATATTTTATAAGTTCTTTTTTGTACCTCCCTAATGTAAATAGGAAGAGAAGTGTGAAAGAGAAGAAGATAACGTAGAAGGAGTCGCGCCGGACGGGGACCAGGAGGGCAGCGAGGGGGTGGAGCTCGCGCTGCAGGTGCGGGGACTCGCGCTGCGGAATATTGGCCATAGGAACTCTTCACATAGTGCTGTGAGTTATACATGCTTTCAGCCCTTTTTAACGTCCCACTGCTGGGCACGGGCCTCCCTTCAGTACGAGGGGGATCAGGCCATAGTCCACCACGCTGGCCAAGTGCGGGTTGGCGGACTTCACATGTCTTTCGAAAACTTGCTAGCTTCTCTCAGATATGCAGGTTTCCTCACGATGTTTTCCTTCACCGTAAGGCAAGTGGTAATCATGTTAGAAATGATTGACACATGAAAATATCAGAGGTGCGAGACCCGGGATTTGAACCCGCTTTACTCGGTTTCTCAAATGTTCGCGTTACCACTGGGCTACCACTGCCATAAGTGTTATACTTAATCTTTATTATTGATATGTGGATGTAATTTAGAGGAGTGTGAAAGAGATAAGATAATATGAACTGTGGTGATAGATGTATCAGGAGTACGACTCGACTTTTTTAGCAGGTTTTAATGTGAAAAAGAATAGTGTGATTAAAAATTAAAAAGATGGAAGCCGTTAAGGAAATTTCCAGAATTTTCCCGTAGCTTTTTAGGGTTCCGTACCCAAAGGGTAAAACGGAACCCTATTACTAAGACTCCACTGTCTGTCCCTCTGTCCGTCTGTCACCAGGCTGTATTCCATGAACCGTGATAGTTAGTTGAAATTTTCACAGATGATGTATTTCTGTTGCCGCTATAACAACAAATACTAAAAAACAGAATAAAATAAATATTTAAGGGGACACCCATGCAACAAACGTGATTGTTTTGCTTGTTTTTGCTCGACATTGATATCGGCAACAGGTAGACGTTTGAAATATTCACAGAATATTTAGTTACATATTCAGTTTAAAAATAAATAATTAAATTACAATAATACAAATATTCAAGGGGGTCTCCCATACAACAAACGTGATTTTTTGCCGTTTTTATATATAATGGTACGGAACCCTTCGTGCGCAAGTCCGACTCGCACTTGGCCGGTTTTTAGCACTTTTTTATTTATAACTTATTCTATTCCAGGGAGAGAAAACAAAGAGTGACGCCGGCAAGGGCCTAGGCTTGGAGCCCGCCAACCGCTGCGGGAGGGCGCTGCGGCACGCGCTCAAGGGATTGAAGGCGTTGCACCATTTGACTATTGATAAATCTAAGGTAATGCTTTTTTTTTATAGTATTCTGAATTAGTGCTTGACTACGTTCCACCTGATGGTAAGTGGTAACGCAGTCGTAGATGGTAAGTCGCACTAATTCAGTAGCCACCTATTCACTCTTGCCTTGAAGACACCCATGTTGTAATCGGACGGAAACACCGATCCCGGCAGGTTGTTCCAATCCTTAGCCGCACGTATAATGAATGACGTTGCGAAACGCTTCCTCCGGACGGGTGGAATGTCCACGACATAAGGATGGAGACCAGCCGTTCGTCGGGTTGTCCGATGGTAGAAAGAGGATGGAGGAATCAAGCCGTGTAGTTCCTGCGCACACTCTCCGAAATGTAACCTATAGAATACACAAAAGCTGGCTTTATTCCTTGGACATATTTCCATGAAATTTCGTATGAATTGAGTACGGCAAAAATAATAAGTTACTTGTTTCAGCGTTTTCCAAAATTCAACCCGTAAGAGGGTAAAATAGGAGATGAAAGTTTGTATGAAACCTAGCTTTTTAGAGTTTTTGTTGTAGTTTAGCGCGAGCGAAGCCGTGAGTTCTGCTAGTCATTGTATATTTTACTACCGACTCACGCTTTACTCTCTAAATATACCATATCACTAAGATCATCACGAAATATTTCAATAAACTATCTATTTTTGTGCGTCGTGTGTTTTATATATGAAGGGTACAAGTAAAGAACGGAGAATGTCCTAATGAATAGATTATGAGAAAAAAGCAATCAAAATTTTTGAAGTATTATATTTTTATTGAGACCAAAGTATGCTGTAACTTTCTAATATGTACATTTTTGGACAATCCTTCTTTACCGGTATGTATTGATATTCCCAGTTCTTTTCGCTTTGGGCGTAGATAAAAAAGTATTTTTATTTTTACCAACATCCGTGAAGTTTGTAAAAATTTTTGTAAAAACCAGTGATTGGGAATACAACTACTATGGGCCAAGATTTGTTACTAGTACAAAATAAAGGAAAAAACACACAAATTGTGATATTCTCTGTTCTTGGCTTATACCTTTTATATATTTATTTATATGTCTAATGTTTTTACTAACTTTAATATTCTGATTATTTAAAGGAAGAAGAACGAGAACGTCTTAAACAGCAGATTATAATAGAGGAGCAACATCCAAAAATGGCGAACCCTTACGAGCCAATCAAAATGAACTATGAACCACTAAAACGTTCGAAAGAACACGTCTCAAGAAGTAGACGAAAGAAGCGAGAGAAGAAGACCGATAAATCAGGGAATTATCTCATCGAAACAAAATCGAATATCGATAAAAACGCCATTTTAGTGCGCAAAGAGAACAAAACTATCCCCACCTTGCATGAACCCAACAGGGATGATAATTTCGCATGGAAATTACATTTAAAAACGTTGTTATATGAAAAAATATGTCTAGCATATGCCACTTTGGCCGAATACAGCTATTCCCATGAACAGTATGGGTTCTCATTAAAGTATATAAATATGGCGAATAAATGTCAGAAGTTATTAAGTAATATGATAATAAAGAGTCGTGTGGTCGACGCCAGTTGTTTGATTGGTCGTGTTGGGGATAATTTCTTTCAACTCAGCAAAAATTGGAGCTCTTTGGACCAGTTCCGGAAGCAGTTTGAGATGGACCACGAGATCGACAGTCAGATCAAGATTGAGATAGAGAATGATATGATCGAAGAGATCGATGGCGAAGCTAGGGATGAGTTTGATTTGGGTGAGTTATTTTGACATTCGAATTGTGGAGATTCTTTTTTTGAGGATCAAAAAATTGTAAATTTCTAATTTAATGTATTGTGGTAAATGCTTGGGATAAAATTTTGAGATTTGTCCAATCATGCGACTGATTTTTTTAATTTTTTTCCGCGTTCTTCGCGTTTTTATGTAAAGCGACTCATGAAAATGGAGAATGTTAATAGACTGGTGGCGGGTATGTGTGACGGGAAGCGAGCAAGTAATTTACCACTGATTACAACATGAAATGTTCATTGATATGCGCATTACTTGAAAACTAATAGGATAGATATGCATTTTTTTCTTTAATTTCGAAATATTTCCAATAAAATTTATCGCTAGCGGCGACATATTCCTAAGGGTGTAGGACCGACACCGGACACTGTCACGTTTTACAGACAATAAAGCTAGACCAACAAAGCTGTCTTTTTGTATAAATTGAAAGAAATTTGGACAAATAATAATATGTGTCGGATGATCGAATCTTCTAGTATATTTAGAGTACATTCCTAGATGCCTAATAGCCTATAAGCTACTCCAAATCACAGTATATCTTTATCTATCATTCATCAAAATCCATCCAGCCGATTCAGCGTGAAGGGGCACACAAAACCCATAAAAAAATAGCTTTATTGTTCCTTACATCTTACATTATAAAACAGAAAATTTTATAGATAACGTAAGCAACTTATAAAACTTAGACTTTTCGTCGCACACTTATAAAAGGTAGGTATTGTATGTATTATTTATGTAAAAGTCATAATTCTGTGTGTGTGCCTAAGTCATAGTTTTGTGTCACAAACACACATACACAGGTGCATATATACATATAACAATCGGATGACGTCCTCCCCCAGACATAACGCTCCCCAGCACGGAGACGGAGGCGATGCTGGCGTCGTGCGAGTGCTACGCGCGCGCCGCGGACGTACGCGGGCGCGCGCCGCGCCGCCGCGACGAGCTGCTGCGGCGCCGCGCCTCCGTCTGCAACGAGCTCGCCGTCAGATACATGAACGACGCACAGCGTGAGTTATACATATACATATGTTGGGACTTAACACACCGCGCCATCTAGTTCCATGGTAAGCTACGAGGCTTATGTTATGTATACCAGATAGTTGATACACTGCTGCACATATATAGCTTTAAATACATACATATTATAAATATAAACACACGTGATTGGAGTACAAGTATTCGTACTCCATCTTGCTTCAATAGCTTCATCAGTAGAAAATATCAATATTTTAAATATATTGTATATTTGGATTTCTTGGTTACCGACATTTCTAATGGTTTAACAACAATCATGCTCTCAGGAATCAGAAGAGACCAAAATAAATCCGCGAAAAAATCTGAAAAGATAATTTCATTTAAAATGTCAAATATTCGTTATCAATCAAAAAAAGTATTAAATAATATTTATTTCACAGAAATCTACGTGAAATACGTGGAAGAACCCGACCCAAAGGATCCGAAAGCCAAACTCTTACTAAAACAATTCGCTACACTCTCGCGTCGCTCTTCAGAGTTCTTGGACGAAGCGACGACAATATTCGAACAAGTTAAGGATATTCCCAATTTAGCTTTATTATTCTGTAATAAAGCAAGATATATGAGATTCAAGGCGCACTGCGATCAAGGTAGTTTTAAGTGAGTATCTTATATTATTTCAGTGTTTTAATTTTTTTTTGTTTGGTAAAAAGGTAGTTTTAGACCCTGGGAAAGGCAGGATAGTTTTTATCCCGGAAATCATCCCTTAAGGGGGTGAATATAGGGATGAAAGTTTGTATGGGGAAGTGATATATGTTAGAACAATCTCTTGAAGTTAGGGCATGATTTTGAATACGATACGAAAAAAATGATTCTTTTAGAACCAAGCGCTAGTATTTGCCACGCTCGCGTTGATCCTCAAAAGATTTAGAACGTCGATATTTAAGCAAACTCAACTTGTCACTGCATTTCTTTATTGAAGCGAAAATTTAGGCAAAAAATATTAAACTTCGTACACTGATCGGACCACTAATATAAATATGTTGATAATGTGTTATTGTCAGTCATTGGTTCTTGAAAATTTTTTTTTACTTGCTACTTACTTGGAGATCTTAAGTTTAATTTCATCCAATCCAGTCAAACCATTCCAGCGTGAAGGACAACAGAAACAAACAAACATACATACCACCTTTCACATTTACGACAGTAATCCAATTAGTGACTGAGTATTTCGCTCCAGCTCAGAGAAGCGCAGCCTGTACAGCCAAGCCGAAGAGCTGTACACCACAGCCTTGAAGCTGCTCGGTCCCCGCGACAGCTGCGGCGCCACCTCCATCTGGGAGCTGGTCTCCTGGGAGCTGTCCTGCCATCTGTATTCCCGTGCTGTGCTCATGCAAGACTATCCAGGGGTCTATGCTGATGTGAGTATCCCTTGTGGTGGACTGTCCCAGGGTCTATATACTGATGTAGGTATCCCTCGTGCAGTGCAGGATTATCCCATGGTCTGTTTGGGGTCTAAGATGACTGTCGGCTCGAACCAAGGGATAGAAAATATAGGGATTTACTGTCAATAAATTGTGATTAGCAAAGGAGGTTGGGTCGTTGGTGGTGTTATGCCTGGGTACTGAGTCATGTTACGTCATGGGATTTTTAGAGTGAAAGGGATAGATAGTGCTTGTTGTGTGTGCGTCTCATTCTCACGAACTGCACTATTATATCTATGCCATTGGTTAGTGGGATTGGCCGCCGTGGCTAAAATTGGTAAATATTCTGTGATCATTAACGGAATTAACGGCCTGTTACTATTGAATTGATCTCTGATAATATATGTGTTACAAATTTCGCACGTCTTTTTTTACAAGTAGTCTTAGAAAATAGCTATGAAAGTATTTATGGACATTAAATCTCTCTCGATAGGGTTATTAAAGAGGGGGTTTGAAATTTTGTATGAAAATCAGAGCAGTCGTGGGCGAATGCTAATAATGACCGTTTTTTTTGTAGGAAATAACAGAGGTGGCCGAAGCATTTAAGCATGCGCTAAAGTACTGCCTTCTAAGCCCTGGGCCCAGGCAATATCTGTACCAGTTCCGAGCAGCCATGATATACCATCGACTGGGTTCTTTATATCATTCTCAGTATAGGTAAGTAAGGAATCGTGTGGTGGGTGTAAGGTGAGACGAATGACGCATTACCGACTGACATACTTACTTTTATATGTCAGTTGGAAACGGCTTGGTTGTATGTATGTATTCAGCCCCTTTTTTAATACCCCGCTGCTGGGCACGGGCCTCTTATTACAAGGGAGATCAGACCATAGTTTGACGGATAAAACTAAATATATATCTATAACTTGCTAGGAGATGGTCCTTTAGCCATTTAACTCAAGATCGTTCGCCACATAAGTTGGATTTTTACAACTATTTAACAGGATTTCCGTTAAAATCAAAGGCGATCGCTTAATGTATATTGGTGCTAGTATGGGTATTATCTCGGTGGTTGAGTGGTTACAGGTGGGAAGGGTCTGGGTTCGAGTCCCAGATCGGGCCAAGTTTACTTATTGAGATAATTTTCAGTATCAACCTGGAGTTGGGAAATTAACGGCGTGACATTCTGAAACATAGCACGTGTCGCTTGATCATTGTGAGTGTCAAATTGCCGTTCCATGGAAGTGTGAGAGTGAAAGGCATAGAGAGTGAATTGCGCATGCGCACTACCTAGTAGATATCCTGGATATTGGTTTTTATCTGGATTATGTGTACTGTATTCTGTCTTGTTTTTATCCGATATCCTGTCAGATAACAATGTGTCTGGATATCGGAAACTTACCGGATATCCGTTTCATCTCCTCGGAGAAACAACCTCAAAGGCGATCGCTTACTGCCCGCATGTTTATATTGTGCAATAGCACGTGTCAAAGCTCCTACCACCCGGCAGGCTGGCGCGCGGCGAGGGCGGGCGGCGGCGCGCGCTGTTGCTCGCGACGTGCGGGCACTACGAGCGCGCGGCGCTGCAGTTCGCGGCGCTGGAGGACGCCGCCATGTTCCTCACCGTGCGTCTCGAGCACGTCGCCGCGCTCGAGGCGCACGCCGCCGGTTAGTGCGGGGGGGCGGGGGGGTAGAGAAAATTCAAATGGTCGAAGTTATAATTTTTTTTATTTAAAATATTTACTTCCGGTTTATCACTAGAAAAACAATTTAAATTTGAAATCTGACTAAAAAATCCATCTATATATGGCTATAATATAACGCAAGTGTCAGATGTAGTAATTGTGAACTTATGAAAAATAAAGACGTAGATGAATTCGTACATTTAAATAATGAAAAGGTGTTCATTTGTGTATTTTCTTTTCATTGTACATTACGCACTGTTTTCGCCAAATATTAACTGTTGTTATTCATAATCCTTTTTTAGATTTACGCGAATATTTGACATTTTAAATAAAACTATCTTTTCGTTTTTTTTCGCGTATTTATACAATTCTATATTTATTTACTTTTTTATCTATTTTTTTAAATTACGAGTATCTAGTACTATTTAAAATCTTATGCTATTATTTTATTTGTTCCAGTAACACCAAATCTAAAACTAAAATCGCTACAAAACGCAATAGAGCTGCTAAGACAATGTCACTCCATAATGAAATTACTAAAAGACCGAGATCCAGAAGAACAGAAAGAAGTCCCCAAATCAGAAGACACCGACGAGAAGAATCTTCAGAACGAGCACAGTCTTCTTTGTTTATATGAGAACAGACTGCATTTCATATTGAAAAGTGTTATCCAATATTGCAGATCTAAGTCGAACAAAGATTATGAGAAAATAACAGATATGTACAAAAAGTTGTATTGTGCTAGTTTGAAGATAAAAAAGAATGATGATGTCAGGTTGTACGCAGCAAGTGTTTGTGAGGCCTTAACTGCTATGGACGATATTTCAAAAGATTTTGAATGATATTATTAGCCTTTTATGTTGAATAAAAATAACTTCAGTACTAACCTTTCAGTGGGTACTTAACGCTACCAATCAATTGACATACTTTTTATGTGATGTCATAACGTGATTCTGCCATTAGTTTTGTATGGCAATAGTAACCTGTGACGTCACTTATTTGCCAACTAAATTGACTGTTTATTGATTTATAAAGCAAATAAAAATTTAATTTTATAGTTTATGTAAATTAATCAGATTAAATCAAGGCTAAATTTAGTTTTTGAAGTGAATAATTTTATAGGCAGGTTTAGATGGGGTGTAAATACATGTAAGTCGTCATCGACATGGTCACGTGACGTGTTAACGCTAACACTGAGAGTGCCGGTAGATGTCAAAACCAGGTAAATGTAAACAGTTTTAATTTACAAATTTTAATTTAAGATCAAGCAATTAATTTGAATATCCAACAATAACAACGGTTTGTTTATAGTTTTAAGGTTTCACTTCTGTCGGCAGTCTTCGTCACTGCTTTTTTTACATAAGTTTTGGCTTCGTCGTATTGGTAAGAGGTATCAACTACCTCATTTTGTGAAGATATTAGTATTATAGGTTACTTGTAGTAATATTTTTGTGGTTATGATTTGTTAAATGCAGGAATCGAAGCTGTGCCTCCAAAGCGCACTTTTATAAATTTTCAAAGCTTCTTGTACAAATGTAATTTATAAATAATTTTACTGTAACATATACAAAGAAAATGTATTAATTTAATAATGATTTAATTTTTTTAAGAATTTCTTTCGTAGAAGAAATTTTGACGATTGATGCTTTTATTATCACTAATATAATTTTAATGTCACCAATAACGTAAAATCTGCTTATTTTATATATTACTATCTGTTATGTCTCTATCAAATACAAAATTAAGAAAATGTAAAAAATAATAAACAAAATAATCCTTAATTTTGGATAAATCATTACTTTTGTAATGAAACTTTCTTCTATCTTTAATTATTGTATAACTGCTATATTTTTGTACAATAAGATAAAAAGTATTTTAGTATATTTTTATAATCTTCTATAATACTTTTTTCTTTAAATCAAGTGTTGCTATAATCAAAATTCGATTTATTTTTAAGCCTAAATTTTAACTTTTCACATTTAATGTTATTTTTTAAAATATTGTTTCCATGTCAATAAAATGCTAAATAATGCCACTAAGACGATATGTATAATGTAAAGATAAGCGAATCTCTAAATGTTTGCTTCAGACTGACAAATAATATCACTTTGTATATATAAGAATTAAAATATTTTGTTTGAGAGTTGTGTTATAATTTGTTCTGGCATTATATTAGTATAAATAAATACATTTTTCAAGAGAATTATGAAAAAACTTCAAGTCTAAAAAACTAAAATTGCATTATTAAAATATAAATAAAAATCCTAGATCAGTTTTGAAATCCACCTCCTAATCTGTTTTGGCCTAAATTTAAATAAAATAATCTTATGACTTTTAGTAATCGTTAGGAAATAACGATTTAGTTTTTAATAATATTATATATAATTTTGACACGATTTGACTCCGAAAAACTTACATTAATAGCAAAATTATTATAGACATATTTGTTTAAGATCTTCTAAATGCCCAGTGACCTGTTTTTATATCATAAGAATCATGAATATATAGGGTATATGTTTAGCTCTATTTAACGTCCCACTGCTGGGCGCGGTCCTCCCGTCAGTACGACGGGAATCAGGCCATAGTCACAGGTAATAGCAACCTGTGACGTCAATTACTATTAGCCAATAAATAATAATATGTTGGGACATTAACACACAGCACCATCTAGTTTCATGGTAAGCTACGAGGCTTGTGTTATGGATATCAGATAGTTGATATACGTGTAACGGTTTACCCCACGGTTATAAATATTCCTGTTCATCACACAAATGAATGCCCCTAGGCTGGGACTCGAACCCACGACCGCTGGCACAGCAAGTAGGGTCACTTCAAATTGAGCAACATGTCGTCAAAACTCAATAAATAGGGTAAAAGTCAATAAAAAAAAAGAATATTTTAGAAAATTTATTAAAAACAATATCACATCGTCATATAGCTATGTACAAAAGAATAACAAAATGTAACTAAATAGGTTTATCACAACTCAGGTCTAACCTAGCGTCTACACGTTTGTACTTTGGTTGGTACGCTACCTACTCTAATGCCTTACGTAAAAGAAACTGAAGTTTGCGTGAAACTTAAATGTGAACAGAAACTGTAAATTGTTTATTGCGTTATATTTTAATTTTTTAATTAGTTTTTTTATGCACAATATAAGCAATACTAATTATGTATATACACAGGTGATAAAGATTTCCCTAGCCCCTGCGCTCGTTAAAAATTGTGTTGCTGGATCCATATATAGTGTATGTTATCGGCTAAACAAGATTTTACAGGCTGGTTTGGCCATTATGGTTCATCTAAAGTGTGCCAGGATATACTAGTTTAGCCAAGACAAAATATTAAATACTTTAGGGTTAACTTGTTGGCCTAGGCCGAACTGATTTTGAGGTATTATTCGGCTTTTTAGTATATGAGACGCGGCCTCTGGAGGAGTGGGTGGTATTATTATGTGAAGAACCGACTTGGATAACGTAGGCTGAGAAGGCTATTTTTTATTTAAAACCCAAAACCTCCAATATCATAAGTGCTATGATATTTCAATCAGTTTGGCCTAGGCCAAACTAGTTAAGCCTAAAATATTTAGGTCAAACTAGATTGTCCTGAGCTAAAGTAGTATATCTATATATATATATATATATATATATATATATCTGACACACTTGGGATGAACCGGTTTGACCTAGTTTGACCTGAAATCTAGTTTGGCCGGTAACATATACATACATCCGCTAATATACTATATGATATTCTCTCAATTATTTGTGTGCGTATAGATTCGCAGCTAACTTTACTTCACTGGCGCATTTTAAGTTTTACGCAAACTTTACTAATTTAATATGATAGGAAGGAATTGAACTTATGTCAATAAAATAGTAATTGATATCAAATCAACATAAATTTTAATTAATAAAAAAAATATAGTTTTGATTCTTTGGAGTTGCTACTATTTTCATAAGGCATTATAAGTAATTTCTTATTTTAATAGCACCTAGGCGATTAAGGATTGATAGGAATGCTTTAACACTTACAATCTCATAATAAAATTACGTATAACAATATTAAACCAGCATTTATATATTGGTACCAATTATTTATTATAGTTTATTTTTCGAGTCCCTATATAGTAGGGCTTTAAAGATTTTGGGGCCCTGAAAAATAAAAAAGAACTATTTTTTATCCAAGTATGTGTGCAAAATATGTATAAAATATTTCTAATATGTCATTAATTTAGCCTTTATTCATTTATTTATCATGTGTTAATAAAAATAAATATATTGGCCCAATATATAAAAATGGTGTTAAAAAAATAAAATTTATGTTGACTAGTCCCTAGTCACTTTAAACCTTAAATTATTAAAATATCAAAATATCTATTGTATTCCATTAAATATTAAATATTGTAGCACCATATTGTGTACCGATAAAAAAATATAATTTATTGATTATATGTATTCTTAAATTAAAGTTAAAATATAATAATAAAATGGCTGACTTCGTTGGATGTTGGTAGCATTGGTTTTTGGTCCCGTTTCGTGACAACAAAAAGTAATGTTCAGCTATAGTTAAATTATACTGGCATTGATTTACGCTTTTTCCGGTTTTTGCTTCCTGAAAAGAAAATAATAATTAGTCAGTATGACAGGTTCAACCTACTTTTCTTCCCGTTAACTTTAATTATTTGCATTTTGATTGATTAAGTTTTATTTTGATTTTCGTTCCTGACGTTTCGAATGCTTTAGTTTACAGCAATCATGGGTTTCGGGAGAGGCGGTCTCTCCTTCCGGTAAAATATGTATATATGTACCTACGTATGAGTACCTACATAAAAATTAAAAAGCAAATCTCACCCTCCCAACATTTCCTGTATCTCCTGGAAGCTCTTGCCCTTGGTCTCCGGCACCAGGAACAGCGTGAAGAAGAAGGCGCAAGTGCAGCATACCGCGAAGATGAAGAAGCCCACGTGCATGCCGATCGAGTCCGAAATGGTCGGGAAGAATCTAGAGAATAAAAATGACTCTTGATGATTGATTATATTAAAGGCAAATAATTTTAGAAAACAATTTTATCTACACTACTATTTTAAGGAGGAAAGATTTGTATTTTTATGAAAAAAATGTTTTTTTTTGTGTATTTGTGTATTGTAACGAATAAACTCAAAAACTACTGGACCGTTTTAGATGAGGTAAGAAGTTAGTTTGAGACCCTGGGAAGGATATAAGATATTTTTTATTTCGGAAATCATCCCTTAAGGGGGTGAAAATGGAGCTGAAGTAATAAAACAACGTAATATATGAAAAAGGCTAAAATATACAAGTGACAAAAATGTATGTAAATAGTTCCTAATTCCTATTACAAGGCATGAAAGCGTCCATACTTTTATCAACTTTAAACCAATTAAACTAATAATTCTGAGTACTCTAAAACCACTTTATTTTAATCCTGAAAACTCAATTCATTTACAATTAATTGTAAATTAAGATTTTACATTTGCTTTGAAATCAATAAATAGTCAACTCATAAAAATATGTGATTGATGGTGTTAACAACACCATTATTACTATATATTTTCGAAGTTGTTTAATCAATTACTCAATAGATGGCGTTAGTATTATTCTGAATGGAGTTCGTAATATGTAGCCTGTAACTTGTAGGTAAGTGCCTTATTACTATACATTTTATAACTTTATTTCAAATAGTTCAGACAACACTAATAAAGAAAATAAACGTCCAATTTTATCCGACTTTAATTAAAGTTAATACAGTTTTTGACACTAAGCACATTTAAAAAAAAAGAAAAGTACCCTATACCACTTGAAGGTACTGAACCATCACATTAGCGAAAGACCACATCCAACCAACAGTAACCTTATAATATTACTAGTGGTTATGTAGATTCATAATGAATATCTCTTTTTTAAACCGATCAATATAAATCAATCTCTATCATGTCTTCTCCATTCTGGACGACATTGGCGAAGAAAACTACCAAAATGGCAGATTTATAAGCCACAGAACAACGAATTGAAATGAATTGAATTATTATATAGCTTCTTCTCCCTACCTATTTCCCAATCACTTCGCAGTCGGCGCAGTACATCTTCTGTACTGCTGAAAGGATTTGGCAAAAGTTTTACGACTAACCGCCTGCCTGACGTCAATCCTCCTTGGGAACGCTATTATCTCTCTTTGTCTGAATTATTATACAGCTAATTAATTAAAATTCAATCACTCACTTAGTAACCAGGAAGGACAGAATCCAGCAGAAAGCCGTCGCGATGGGGGACGCGACCGCCTTCACCTCGATGGGGAACAGCTCGCTCATCACCGCCCACGGCAAGGGCCCGAGCCCCCAGCAGTACGTCACGATGAACAGCACCAGCGACAACACCGGGAGGAAACTGATGCTATCCACAATTGGGTCTTCCATTTTTGCCAGCAGGAAGAAAGTGCCCAGAAGCGTCTGGAAATAATTTGATTTGTTAGACTACTTTTATATAAATATAATCCAGTTCCATGGTAAAGCTACGAGGCTTGTGTTATGGATACCAGATAGTTGATACACATATTTAACTTTAAATATATATTATAAATATAAACACCTATGACTGGAGTACAAACATTCATGTTCATCACAAAAATGAATGCCCAGCGGGACTTGAACCCGTGACCGCTGGCACAACAAATAGGGTCACTACAAACTGAGCCAAACGTATCGTCGTATATAAAAGTTTGTGAGTACATGTGTGCAGATCAAGAGCGGATCTATATAGAGTCTTTTTGTACTGCTCGTCAGGACCCTCGAGATATGAGGCCAATGGATAATATGTAAATTTATAAAAAAAAATTAAGGCCTTAAAAGGATCAATTAAGATAAAATCCAAAAAATAGCGTTATCTTATTTTTGTCCAGTAGATACTATCTATCATTATAGATGGCAATTAGGTTAGGCCCCCAAGAAGTGTTAGCTTAGGGGCCCACAAATTAAAAGTCCGCCCCTGCACCAAAATTACACATTTACCAAGTATAGACACAATCAAAGCTCAATCATGCCCCGAATTTTTACTGATTATCTTTGATTTCTATAAGTCGACTAAAAGAATTCTGTCCTGAAATTACGTTTATAATATTTCTATACTTGTACATATATCAATGGGGTTTAAACCTTATATACTTACAAGTCCTATAGCGGTTCCGCAAGCAGACACCAGCAGCAGCAGCCGTCGACCGAGGCGGTCCACTACGAAGGGTGTGATGAAGGATGCCACTAACTGTACATCGATTATAATGTATAAATATATAAGTAAAGTAATTTAAAACACTATACTTAAAAATAATTATATAAATTAAAAATAATTATTTAATATTAATAAAATTCATGTCAACAATATGAATATTAGACCTAACCTAACCTATATGTATATATTATAGGATATAGATTGTAGAAGCATGAAATTTTGTACAATAATTCCTAATATAATGAAAGTGGATTTTTTAAAATTGAATCTTAATGGGGTTAAATACGGGATCAAAGTTTATATATAAGTATATTAATTATTATTATTTAATTTGAAGTTAAAAATGATAATCGATGAATAAGTTTGGGTGGGGCAGATTTTAGTACATCAATAGTTTTTAGAATGTTTGCATATAGTGTTTATTCGGGCTTTTTAAAAGAAAGAGAGCGAGAGAGAGATAAAAAACTGATTTACTTTTAATCGATTCCAAAACAACTATCAAACATGATTTTTTAAAACAATTAGAAACGTGGCCGTAAAAAGTTTATTCAAATATTTTAATATAGATATCTAACCATGTAGAATACATTTGCTTGCATATAAAATATAATGGCTATTAAGAATATTTACATAACTTTTATGAACCTATATTTATATATACATATTTAATTAAAAATAAGATTTTTCCAAAATTAATATAACATAGAGGAATTTTATAATAAATATCAAGTTAAATAATAAAAAAAATACAAATCGCGGGCAAAGACCACTGTAGACATTAAACTGACCTGCACAGCACCAATGATGATGGTGGCTACCGCCGGGTTCAAGTCTGTTCCGGAAGCTGCGAATATATCCGTCATATAGAAGAGTACTGCGTTAATTCCACTGAACTGCTGGAAGAATACCAGCGCTGAAGAGATGTAGAAGGCTTTGAAGTTGCTCCCTCGGAACACGTCACTTAGCTGTGTCCAAAATGATGCAATTTATTAGTTATGACTCCTTGCATATACATATATATTTACTCTGCACCTATGTGTATAAGGAATAGCCATCTATTTCAAATATTTTTAAAACACTATCACTGATAAACAAATACAAATGAAAAATGTAAAGTTCCCGTGGCATACCACGGGAACCTTACATTTTTCCGGGATGAAAAGTCTATGTGCTATTCCAGACTATAATCTATCTCTGTGCCAAATTTCATCCAAATCCGTTCAGCCATTTTGGCGTGATTAAGTAACAAACATCCAATCATCTAAATTTTCACATTTAATTTTACATAGTAAGATCTAAAACAGTATGATACAGAAGCTAAAAATTACTCTTCTGTAATACGATTTTATGTTCATTGACGATAATGTAAATTGTAATGGCGGGGAGAGAAGTTACACATTACTCGAGGGCATAGTTTGTACGCGTTCAGAAACGTTCAGAAACGATAAAAAAAATAAATTATTATAAAATTAAAACTTAAAAGCCTAATTAATAAATTGTATTATAATATAACTCACGGTCGCAGTCTTTTCCATGGAGGCGGCGACGTCAGCCGCTATCAGATTAAGCTCTGCCTCCACTCCCGACCGAGATTTGCCACGAATTGTGCACAAGCACTGCGCTGCAGCTTCCCTGTCCTCTGTAACATTAAAATATATGTTACTAATAATATCGGTCTACCTATACAAATAAATAAAATGTAAGTGTCTGTTTGTAATGTCAAAATAACATCTTTTACTAAATGCGTATAAAATTATATACAGTGCTTATAAGAAAAATGCATACGTTTTTTAAAAAAAATCACCTGTCTGTCTGTTAGTTCCGACGAATCTCCGAAACGGCTGGATTGATTTTAACGGGACTTTCACTGGCAGATAGCTGATGTTATACGGAGTAGGCTCCTTTTATTTTAGAAACAGAATTAAGGTTCTAATAAAAAAAAGGCTAATCCTCTTGGCCCACCCCTTGGGATTAATGAAGGCAAACTTCACTCAATCGCACAATTTAAAATGTCAAGTATTCGCGTAAATCTAAGAAAGTATTACGGACTCACCTTTCAAAAGATAATACGTGGGTGTTTCAGGCATGAAAAAGAAGGCAGCTGCGAAGACAGCTACGAAGGCGATACCAACGTAAGCGACCACTCCGTATGAGGCGTCCGGCCCTATACCGTACACCAGCAAGAAACCGACTGTGATGAACATTTGGAGGAAAGAGCCGAGAGCTCCTCTTGAGTCATCCTGAAGGCAGATAAATTATGATTTGTTAAGAATTTAGATGGAATCTTGTATACGATTTGTATGAAGCACAAATTATAGCCCAAGGCGTTCTAGCTTGCAATGCTAGGTAGGAAATAGTAAAAGTTCCATGAACTAGTTCCATGGTAAGCTGCGAGGCTTGTGTTATGGATACCAGAAAGTTGATACACTACACATATATAACTTTAAATACATAGGTACATATTATAAATATAACCACCCATGACTGGAGTACAAACATTCATGCTCATCACACAAATTAATGCCCCCAGCGGGACTCGAACCCGCGACCTCTGGCATAGCAAGTACTACAAACTGAGCCAAACGTGTCGTCAAATTATATTTTCATTTGTAAAAGTCCTATGTACATGCATTTATTTTTCATCAGAATAATAATTTTTAGAAGTTAATATCAAATAGGTACATATGCTTGAACAGGTTTATTATTCATCATATTGTAATATAGTGAACTATTTCCCTAAATTTCCTTTAGATAACCCCTCGACAAACGACCTACATTTTATGAATACAATGCTTCATAGTAAATATAGGTACACTCATTCATTCAGAGTTTATTACCCTCTAAACATCTATACATACATATAATAAAATTGTAACTAAGCTGAATATGTACATTAGATATTTTTTGGAAAATCTTATTGAAATAGACATTATTATCGATACAGAGGCCGAATCTATAGTTTTTAGAATTTTTGTCTGTCTGTTACCGCATTACAGAAAAACCGCTGGAGGGATTTTGATGAAATTTGGTATAGTTGATTATCCATATCCATATATATGGCATACTTTTTACCGCAGGAAAATATCTCATTTTCGAAAAAAAATACAAAAACTGCAATGTAAGAGTATACTAATATGTAAAACCTTAGAATTTGGTTTTTGGTCGTCTGAACGTGGGCGGAGACGCGGGCAATGCTAGTATCTTATAAATATATAAAATATATTTTTATATAGAGCTTTATAGTAGAGATTAAGCATAAAAAGAAATAAAAAATCCGTCTTATCTTCATATTGCAAGTTAAGTTAAAAATTAAATATTATAAAATCAATAAATAAATTTATCATGTACAATAATCGAACCTATATCATCGAGGCAAACGTTCTGGTCAGCCTCAGTTTGATCTCAAACATTAGTAGGTATTATACAAACTCCTATTTTTTAACTTTACTACACAATTTATTTAATTTCTTTCATTTCTACTACTAAATTCAAGTGGTTAGCATGTCCCCCCCAACGTGCGTTCACCTTGTCGTGGTGGGGGGGCTCAGTAGTAGTAGTACGAAGCTAAGAAACGCACAGGGAGGTTGCCCACTTCGGTGGGCGGTGGGAGGTGGCCCTCTTCGGGGGGCGGTGTGCCTTGCGGGTTGCTCCTGGTACTTCTCTGATAGCAGAGTGGACCTTGGAGCAACCCCAAGGTTGTGGTGGTCTGCTTTGGCAGACCTGCCGTCGGGGCGTCGTAGTTGAATGCGTAAGCGATCCTGCGACGCCCCATTAAGACGGGGGAAGGTTTTGTTGGGTTTTAGTGGGTAGTACTGGCTGTAATACGCCGGTGAGTCCCACACGTCGTGCGTAAATGCATTTCCCAACGTTAAAAAAAAAAAAAAAAAAAAAAAAGTGGTTAGCATGTACGGTATCCGCAGGTCCTGGGTTCGATTCACGAGCAGAAGTTCAATAGTGTAAGGAATAGAGAGTGCATTTGTGTTTACATACATGCGATGCACTATAAATTCTCAGTTTTAGATAGATTCGATTACGAGGATATTGTACTACTCCTGATACCCTTTATCTGCTCGGATGCTTCTCTAGATACTTAACAGTAGTTTATATGTTGCTCCAGCTCATACGGTGGAGTGAAAAAAATAAATAATTAATTGGTTTGATGAATTTTTTTTTATTCGCGTGATCATCTTTAAAACCATTCAAGAAATGACGAATGTAATAGATGAATGTTGTAGAAAATAACTATATTCGTCAATTCTTGAATGTTTTCAAAGATGATCAGTCGAAAAAAATTGAATTAATTAGGTATTTTAAAAATCAGTTAGCTAAATGTGGAGTAAAAAAATTTATTTTTATTTTAAAAATTTCTTTTTTTTTATAAGCTATAAATCTATCAAGTTAAAAAAAAACTTTTTGTTTTTCGCTCCACCCTACATGAGTAGGTATGAGTTCACAGATAGACTTCATAGTCCATCATAGTCCATCCATCTCCACCTATATCCAGTACTAAATTCCATCCACATCGGTTCAGCCGTTACAGCTTGAAGTAATAATCTCATTTATGTACAACTTGCAAAACCCGCGGCTTCGCTCGCGCTAAAACTGCAAATAACACTAGAAAAGTAGGTTTCATAGAAACTTTCATCCTTTATTTTACCTCCTTATAGGATGTATTTCGAAAAATGCTAAAACACGTATTTATTTAATTGTATTGAAGAGCAATAATACCAAGTTTCAAGTGATTCTGATCATAAATATTGTTTTAGGTTGTATAATAACGTGTTACGTGTATATAGCAGTAACATACAAACTCGAATTTATAATAGTGTCTAATTATCACAACTCACCGTAGCAATTTCAGCGCAATACATTGGCGATATAGTGAATAGCATGCCTACAGCGATACCCCAAAATATCCTGCAGGCGTACAAAAACGTCATACTGGTCGCCGCCGCCGCGAGTATCCAACCGATCAACAGAGGGATAACAGAACTCAGTAGACCCCATTTCCTTCCTATTTTAGAAGCCGCAAAACCACCGATGAAAGGACCTAGAAAGGATTTTTACATTTCACATATACATACGTATTAATTACTATGAAGTCGCCCGGTGCATCAAATTTGTATTTATTTAGGCTAATATCACATACTAAACAAATTTTCTTTCTTTATTTAAAATCTTTCACCAATAGAAAAGAGAGTTCTAAGAAGGTTAAATGCGATAATTTATGAATATATTGCGAAATTAATCCACTAATTAATCATTAAATCGAAGTAAATTTTAAAATCAAGTACACATTATACTAAAATTAAATATTTCCATAAATAAATTAAAAAATTAAAAAATGCTATTTTAATCAAAAAAAATGTCCTCTATGGTACTTCTTCTAAGTAACGTATTAGATTGATATATTTAATACGCTTTTATTAGCTTTACTTGTACTATGTTAACAAATTTTTTGTCAATATTAACCTACATCTATATGCAGAATCAGTTAAAAATTTTCAAATATATGCAAAACGGATGACAACACAAAAATTTATATAGAACCTCTACAACTGCTACTCGTTAAACATACATAATTACTCGTAAACAAACAAACACGAATTTGGTCTAATTTTATTTGTTTTAATGATAATAATTTATTAAATATGTATTTAACACTAGCGACTCACCCTCGCTTTGCTCGGGTTCGTCCATACCTTGCTTCCCCATACAAACTTTCATCCCCATTTTCACTCCCTTAACAGATGATTTCCGGGATAAAAAGTACCCTATGTCCTTCCCAGGATCTCATACTATCTTCTTACCAAATTTCATCTAAATCGGTTCAGTAGATCCAGAGATTACCCCCTACAACGTCACAAACTCACAAACTTTACCTCTTTATAATATTAGTATGAATTATAAACGGCATTATTTCGATGATTAGGACATTATTAAGTCAAATTTTGTAACTGGCACATTTTTATTATGGGTCATTTAGGTGTCAAGTCTTACCAAATATAGCACCGATGTTAAGAAGTGAGCCCATCCATGCTATTTCATCCGGTGTAGCCGGTTGTCCGAAAGGATTGTCGGTACCGTTTGACGTAAGCTTGGTGTTGATGGGAGCGGTCCATCCCATAGAATAACCAGTTGAAGCAATCGCGATGTTCGCTAAAACAAAATAACTATAATAGTTAATAAATATATTTACAATTAATTCTTTTATTAAATGATCGCACTGAATGAATGAATGAAATGAATGAGCGAAGTATATTGATACCTAATCATTCGCAATTCGCAAATGCGAAATACATTGAAAAAGTGAACCCATTTAAAAAAAATATAGAACTTTCATATTGCATTTGATTTTTAACAACGTAAACTTAAAGAACAATTAAAATAAGATATGTACAATTAATATTAAAGCCAATATTTTGTACAAAATCGTTTAACATTAACGTAGTGTGCTTCAGTTGATCGCCTATTAGTCCATTGTGGAAGAATGGCACTAACACCGTGTATCCTGTCTCCGAATAACTCCCAACTAAGATGATTGAGATCTATTTTTACTGAACACTGGTAAAGCAAGTAAAATCAGTTATATTTGTATTATATAGTTGATAAGTTTGTCTGTTTCTTTGTTTGAACATGCTTAGGTACATATGTCTAGAACTGCAAGTCAAATTTGAAAAATTCTAATGTAATCCAATATGCTATAGCTGATAACCATTGGAGGTAGACTAATTATATATAAACGTATCTATACAAAAATACCTATACAAAATAAATTGAAATGTCTGTATGTTATTTCAAAATAACTTTGTCTTCTCATAAATAGAGATTTATATAATACCAGTACCTAAAATATTTTTAAAAAAATTGTCTGTATGTCTGTGTTTCTGTTTGTCTGGGGTAATCTTCGGAATGGCTTAACCGATTGTAGTGGAACTTTCACTGAAAGGTAAAGTCCTCCGGTGTAAGGTACATTCAGAATAACTATTTTTGTCTTTTGAAAATGTAACTGGGGACGCACCCGAGCGAAGCGTAAGCAAGTTGCTACTTATAAATAAATTAAGCGAGCAGAAAAATTAACCTCCTTTTTGAAGTCGATCAATGAGACATTGCAATCTCTATAAGAGCATGCATGTTTCTGAAAAGTGAAAAATCGGTACAAACTGGTTATGTATGAGGGTATTTCTCCGAGATTGCGTCCTTCATCTGATTAATCTGGCCAAAAATTATTTTCATTTTTGGCTCTATTCAACATACTCTTATGATTAAAGACATGCCAAATATTATTTGCAATCTCGGAGAAATACCCATGAAAATGTTTGACAGGAGATACATTTACACATTGTGTTACATCAATTTTATCTAAGTAGTAAGTAAACCAGATACCGTCTTTTATTTGTTCAAAACTAGCAATTAAGTAGTTATTTTTAGCTAATAAGGTAAACTTTAGTTTATTATTTACTCATACTATATTACAGTGTCATATTGTAAATGTCTATGGTGCATTAATTTCGCTACTTCCTAGTCTATACATATTTTAATAAAATTGTAACTAAGCCGAACCTGTACATTAAATATTTTTTGGAAAATCTTATTGAAATAGACGTTATTATAGATACAGAGGTCGAATCTATAGTTTTTAGAATTTCTGTCTGTCTGTCTGTGACCGCATCACGAAAAAACCACTGGAGGGATTTTGATGAAATTTGATATGATGATAGATATAGATATGAAATTTGTACAAAACGATAAACGTTAAAAAGGGAGGAACCCGAGCGAAGCAAGGGTGAGTCGCTAGGTAAACTATAATTTTTTGAACTACTAAATCAAAATGCCGATAACATGATACACTCATCATCTGTTTGTTTTGACAAATACCTCACGTCCAACTCTGTGCAAGCTATCATCTCTATCTAATCAATGTGAGTTTATTTGCAAGTTTGACGCACGTTCTATTGATACGTGATTTATTAAAATCTAGTAGAAATTAATGAATTTAGAATGAAAGAATGTGAAAATAAAATAAATAGATATCTATTCACAGACAAGCAAAAACTTTAAACGGTTGTTTGGACTATCGTTCAAATATTTATTTATTAACTTAAAATGATATAGTAATAGCTATTTTTAAATCGCAAGTAGAAACCTTAATCACCAAATTATTGATAAATATAGATTATATTGCCTTCAGTAAGTAATTTCAAAGGAATTGAACAAGATGAAACTCAACAATCGCTAACGCTAATAGAAACCTAAAACATATGCTTACAATATGTACATACTAAATACTCCTAAGCATCTATCTAGCCCTTTTTAAAGTCGGGCACTGGCCTTCCTTCACTATAGGTGGATCGGGTCACAGTCCACCACGCTGGCCAAGTATGGGATGGCGGACTACACTATCTTTCGAAATATTTTCCTTCACCGTAAGACAAATAGTAATCGTGTTGGAAATTATTCACACGTTATTAGATACTCGTATATACTCGTACATCGTTATTCAAGTGCGAGACCCAGGATTAGAACCCGCTTCACTTGATTTCCTAAACAAACCACTGGTTGGCAACCACTGCTCACAATATACCATTAGCATATTTCGTTTTCTATTATCATTATCTATAGTAGCTATTGAGTCGATAGTACAATGTCCTTGAAGGAAACTACTGCTAGTGGGTTTAATTTTTATATAATAGTCCACAATTAAACATCTCATGAGCGTGAAAAAAAAACTTAGATATTGGAGAAGTTGTCAATTTTTTAATGTATTAATTATGAAAATGTTAGTAAAATATAACAAAAATATGTAATAATTATTAAAATATCTCAATAAATGAAAAAGTTATGAAACTTAGGAGTAAGAACAATGTCGTGACGTCACACGACCTGAACGAGCAACATTTAAATTAATTTCTCAGTCATTTATTTAATAGCTTTCAATATTTTTTTCACTGATTTATTTGTTTTGATCTATATTATAATTCCATTGCGTTAAATATGATATTAACAACATCATGAAACTTTTCCATTGATTTAGAATAACATTGTATTCAGTACAAAATATTACTACAACTAGCGACTCACCCTCGCTCCGCTCGCGTTCGTCTCTACTTACGTTATCACATTTAGTATAGATTTCTCAGATATGAGATATTTTCTCGAAGTAAAAAGTATCTTATATGTTGACCCGGATAACCAGCTATCATCATACCAAATTTCATCAAAATCACTCCAGTAGTTTCTCCGTGATGCGATAACAGACAGACAGACAGACAAAAATTCTAAAAACTGTAGATTCGGCCTCTGTATCGATAATATTGTTTATTTCAATAAGATTTTCCAAAAAATATTAATTAATGTACAGATTCTTCTTAGTTACAATTTTATTATATGTATGTTTCTATGTTTGAAGTATTGAAGTAAACGAGTATATTTAAGCGAAAGAATTACCTAAAAGGTGTACATATAATACAATAGTAACTTACTGAAATCTGTACATAAAATACAAATTTTGTTAAAAACAATGAAAGTTACGTATTTTGTACATAATATATACCCCAAAACAATAGTTATTAAGACTTTTATCCATTTGTTTGTATGTCTGTTTGTCTGTTTGTGTGTGCGCACGCGAGAAATACTGAAACGAATTGAACTAAATTTTATGTAGTGATAACTTATTACTCAGATCAACATTTAGGATACCTAACAGGTATACTTTACAGGCTACAGGAAAATCTTTTATTTCCTCGGATAAACATCATAGCTGACTCGGTCGAGTCGTCTTTAGTTTATATGGCTAATGCTGGCTAAACCTTAGAGATACATCAAAACAATCTACATACTAGAAAATTATAGATCTAAAAAGGCAGAAAAATCTGCAATAGCATAAGTTTTTTTCACAATAGCTATCTAAAACATTCCCAGGAACGCACTCGAGTATAACATTATAATATATAACAGTATCTTATTTATTTTGCTTATATCTAAAAACTTATACGGTTGTTATATAAGGCTTTATTGCAACGTGAATTAGATAAAAGTAACAAGTCAAAGATTATGGGAAAAGATAAGTGGTGTCAATAAACATGCAATAAAGTTAGCGAATGAATAGCTAGTAGTTCTACATATATACTTATCTGATATAGCTATTTATTTTATAATAAAAAATATTTTGATAGGGCTTTATGAGGTAATAGGAAGTATCAAAAAAAAATTCATAAACCGTGCTGTTAAATACTTACAAATGTTATTTGGAAATATGCTTAAATATATGAAAATTTGAATTTACGTTAGACTAAGAAATAATATAGACAGAGTGTCATAGAACAACATGAAGCAAAATAATATGTTATAAAATAGTATACAAATGACAATTTGTATAGATACCTACTGAGTAATAAGTAAATAAATATTGAATAGCCAACGGATTTTCTTCTAAGAAAAAAAAGCTAATATAAGAAAGAAGAAAACAAAACGGGCTAATGATAATATATAACATTTTGTATTAAAAAATACAAAATGTTATATATTTATATTATTATATACTATAGAAATAATTATTTTTATTAATTATATTTTATTCTCAAAAATTGTAAGCATATTAACTTAACTAATAAATAAGTATGGCAACATCGAGAACAGTGGCTTAAACAACAAAATATCACGCTATTAATACTTTGACATTACGACTTTGACATTTATTTTGGCGGGCTCCGTCTCGTCGTCTACCGTCTGTAGAGTTCTTTAGTCTGAATTTACGTCATAGATCCCCCGAAGAAAAACAAAAGGCGGTGTAATAAATTAATAATTATATCTATGGCATCTGTGCTCCTAATTAAATACACATGTTTCGAATCGTTTCTATGGTTTCACACCTCAGAAGAAAAGCCCAAGGAGGAACCTTTATAGGATTTCTTCGTTTTCCGTCTGTCTGTCTGTCAACATTCTATTACTCAGGAATGCGTAGAGGTATCTACTTCTTCTTCTCCCTGCCCATTTCCCAATCACTTGGGTCGGCGCAGTACATCTTTTGTACTGCTGATAGGACTTGGCAAAAGTTTTACGACCGGCCGCCTGCCTAACGTCAACCCTCCTTGGAAATGCTATTGTTTATCGCGAAAGTCTTGTATGTGCACTTTCGATTTTGTTTTCTTTTAAAATAT